GCTTCAGATGTTCTTTCCAGGGTTTGTCTGTGGCTTCCCATTGGCAGAGTGTCACACCGCAACAATAACAGATAACAGGGTCACCTCGTCCTTGATAGAAATAGCCAGTCATTGCCATGTCATAAGGGGTCTGGGTCATCTGTTTAGGCCACGTTTGAAAAGACCTCAGACGTTCTTGAAATGAATCATAGTTAGGATGAGAAGGGTGACACAAGGTGTAAGAAGGAAAAGGTCCCTCCAGAATGTCACTGAGTCGCCATGTGTCGTCCATAAAGAGTGTGTCGTCCATAAAGAGTGTACGTTTTCTCGCTTCTTCTCTCGCCTTTTCAGACACGCACTCGGTATCGGGGACATCTCGGGAGGATGGCATGGCATTCATAGACCGTCTTTGTCCCATGATGACTGTGACTTCACTGAAAGAAGGTCTGGGGGTTCGCCTGCTTTTATGAAACTCTCCTCCCTCCCCCTTCAACGGAAGGTCATGACCTCATCATCATCATCATCATCCTCATCCACCTCATCACGTGACGTCATCCTGTGTTTGGGCTGACTGACACACGGCATGACACATGACATGACACACGGTGGTAGTGGTGATGTGTACTGAAAAAATGACTGACACCAGGCAGCTGATCTTTCAAGCATGGCCTTTCTCTTTTATCTATTTTTGTATTCTTTACTTTTTTCTTAAATTTTACAACGAGCATGTGCACTGACATGACAGACGCACAGACAGACAGACAGACAACGTAGACAACATCTCAACTCAACCTCTACCCTCGGTTCGGCACTCTATTGGAGTTGAGATCAATCAAGACACAAAGAGTAAATTGAATCAATCACTGTTTAATAATGAACAACAACAACAACCAGATACATAGGAAATACGAAAAGACAATGGAGGAGGGAGTGCTTTGTATGTCCCTACAACAACAACGCGTAAAAGTGAGTTGAGCTTCTCCATAAGGATCCTGGTCAACGTTGTCATCACCATCGTTGCAAACCATGGGCATACCTGAGGAGAAGACATCTTCCGGTGATGCTGGTGACCAAGAAGCATCCTAGCCTGTCGGGATCTGCTACGTATACTAAAGTCAAAACCATGGTGGCATCGATGTTCAGGTCTTTGTTGGACTGTTGGACTTTTTCCACTGCATGCAAAATATCTAGCCCATGGAGATCTTCAAAGCGACGAAAGGGAATCCGTATTGGGGTGTTCAAAGCGGGATGATCGATACCTAGACCAATACGATCTCCCTTCTGGCCGGACATCTGTTGATAAAAGTAATCGATCAAGAAGAAGCTACAGCTACACTATCTCTGCGAGGAGAATGTGAATCAGAAGAACACGAATGGCGTAGGATGACTGGCTGCCTAGGAGGGCGTTTCCCGTTTCCTGTGTTCCTGTTCAAGTCTCCGTTCAAGTTCCCGTTCAAGTTCCTGTTACCAACAAGTTTTTTTTCTTTGTTGGCCCCACAAGTGGTGCCACGTAGGGCACCCAGATGACATACCCAGATTTGTACGTCTCAAAATAAATACATATATATATATATATATATATATATATATATATATATATATATATATATATACATATAAATAGAGACACGTAGTACATCACGTTTGCCTGGAGACACGAGTCAAACATCACGTGTGTATGAAAACACGTGTAACAGTACGTCTGTAGACCCACACGAGTGTCAACACCTCGGTATAAATGAACGAGTGACAACGTCTGTTGACACACACATGACACTACGTTTGCATGAAGACACGGGTGAAACACTACGTATGTCTATCGACCTTTCTCTATCCATCTAAATACTAAATAAATGTTTGTAGTCACACACACATGACACCACGTTTTGCATAAAGACACGCGTGAAACACCACGTGTGCCTGGCAACATGACGTACATCACGTATGCATGGCATAACAATCCTATGGATCAACGTCAACGTCTGTTTGAAGACACACACATGACATCCCGATTTGCATGGGGGGTGACACAACGTTCATCACGTAGACATTCCCACATAACGTCTATGCCTACCCATGACGGTCCACCTTTAGCATTAAGACGAATATCTACCTAAAAAATACCAAGGCTACCCAAGAAAAAAAACCGGATCGAAATCTGACCAATCAGAAGCCTGGGTTTTCGACCAATCAGAGGCCACGCTCGGACCATACTGGACTCTGAATGGTCGAACCGGGGTTGTGCTTTCTCTCCCATGGAAAAAAAAATTTCCTATGGAAAAGAAACACAGGGGTCGTGTCGTTTTAGAAAACCGAGGTTCAGGCCAGGCAGCGAAACGAACCAATTGGAGCTGCTGCCTGGCGAACCAACCAGGAAGCAGGGTGTCAGTGCCTCTCCTATAAAACAAGAGAACAACCATTCGAGTGGATCAGTGCCACTTGTAAACAAGAAAATCATCAGCAGCAGCATGGAAAATAACTCAGAAAACTGGGATTTGGAGCTCATTTCAGTGACACACCCTTTGCCACTGAGTAAAGGGTACCGCTCGGAGTTGGAGAAGAAAGAAGCAGTACCAGCATTGCAATCGCTACCTCCATGGCAATGCGGCAGGTGCCAAGGGTGCCTGCCAGTAAATGCCCTTGGCACAAGGGCACGGGATGGCACTTTCCAGTGCATCTATTGCAACACTGTCCTGAAGGACACCTACATGCGGCGACTATGCCACACAAGTAAGTGTCCTGTCAGGAGACAGGTGTCAGGCCACCCGCGCCTTTGCACCACTGCGTGTATGTGTATGTGAAGAAGTGATCGACTTCTTCCTCAAAACGGCCCTTTTCAGGGCCACATATCTCCCCCGGAAAGAACGCTTTTCATCCTTTGCTTTGACGACCCTCAAACCCAAACAAAGAACCCGCCTCCTCCTCCTCCCTCCCTCCATCCCTCCCTCCCTCCCTCCCTTCACCACCACCGCCTTTTCTTTTTTTAAGAACAACAATGTCGATCTCGTTCACCTTTTACGACCGCTTCTCTGGGTTTTTCCCTTCCCTCCTCCCCGGAAACGGACGCGACGCCCTCTTGGAGATGCGCAAGCCACCGGAAACGGATGCGACGCCCTCTTGGAGGCGCGCGCCACAGGAAACGGATGTGTCGCCATCTTGGATGCGCACGCCACCGGAAACGGATGTGCAGCCCTCTTGGATGCGCACGCCATCGGAAACGAATGTGACGCCATCTTGGATGCGCACGCCACTGGAAACGATAAGTGACGTTATCAGAGGTCACGTGACCCTCTCGACCAATCAGAAGCCAGGAGCGGTCCTGTACCGCTGGCCTCAACTACTGCAGTTTTTCGAGCACAGCGATAGGATATATATACAAATATATGTCCAACATTGAATATAATTTCGGTTTTTTTTAATATTCTTTTGGGTATTTCATTACGTGTCTTGACCAATTAAGATACACGATAAACTATCAAATGGTTTACACATTCAAGACATTATTTACTTGGTGAGAGCAGTCATTTTATGTTGAGTCGAAAAAGCGTGAAATTCCGTTTTACACATTGAGATTGTCCAATCCATGAACGAAACTTTGGGGAGATATATATATTAATCAAAATACAAGTGTTGTCTTTCTCCGACGTTATCAAAGACATAAAAACCAGCCATGACGTCAAAAGGAATGGTGATATTTTTTTGGTATTTCATTACATTTGATGATAAGGCTAGTGCTCCATTAATAATGGTGCAACATGAGTCAAATTGCACTTACACAATCAAGAGAATGTTGGAATCTAAGGACTAAGTCATAGGTTAGATAAGATCTTCCATTTTTCTATTACCTCTTTTTTATGAAGTACAAGTTCATCATTTCTTATGGGGTTTTTTAAATATCTAAACGTATACAGTTTCAATATCGATATTTGTGTTGGAATAGTTTGGTTCCTGGTAAACAAAACACAACGAAAATGTATTGTTCTTACCCACAGCTACAATTAACTAGTGATGAGCATAGCGGAGTTATGCCCCCTTTTCTTTGTACGTGTGTAACTTCTCTGTCGCCTTTTGACGTCATAGAGAAAAATCAGTTTTCGCCATTTACGGCATGCTATTTTTGGCATTGAATGTATGTCGTAATACAAACGCATATTACTCCATTTGATATGTAGTTATGTCGTTCAGATATTAGGCAGTATTTTGTTCGCCAACAGTTTCCATTCAGCTTCTAAATAAAAAAAATCGTCGCACAGTACTTTTATCAGTGTTCGATAAAAAGCGGAGAAATTGACTGTTTTTCAACGCTGAATAAACTCTCGGGCAACATTTAGAAGTGTCTTTTTTTTAAACCATTTTAATATTTGTAGTAAAATTTACACCATCAAATAGGTAATTTAATATTCCCCACCTCTGCGTAATTTTATAGCCAGAGGTAGATCCAGTGCCGCGTGAGCGCAATTCTCGCACAACCTTCACTTTTTCAATCTTTTCCGAAAATGTACGTTAGAAAAAAAACTCGGCATCCAGAGGGTTAAGAACATGAAGTGACCTATGCAACGTTCAGATCTGAAGTAATGTTCATCATAATGTTCTGCATGCAAGGATGTCAAAACATTGTGACGCGGTAAGCTGGTAACGACGGCAAGATGAAGGCAAGAGAGGTACAGGTTCACCACTCTACGATTTACCGTCTTTTTGCTCGTAATGCATAGACAAACAATGTGAGGGGTCGCCCAAGAAGTGGACACAACGTGTAAAGTTTTAACGAAAAGACATAGTTATTATCAGTTCTCACTTGCGAAAACGCCACCTACCAGTGTAAACTACTGCCAAACAGACAATAAGAACCAACCACAGACGTGTGTCGGCAAACTTAGTGCGTAGGTTGTCAATAGTTGATGTTCTTCTTTAACAGCATAGTTAGATACAGGTGTGTTCTTTAGACGAATGTGTTTGTTGTCATTTGAGGAAAATAATAAACGGATGGTAAAGTCTGAAATATTTTGTCGATTGCATTGCAGGTGTCTCCTTTGATTTCTGGAAGTCTGAACAATGTTCTCTGCGAACTTCCGGTAGGCTACATCAATTCATGCCATGCCTTTATTCTTTTGATCTTTCACGTTTACAATACATAATAACACAACGTAAAATATAAAAGTGCACAAACATGCTACTGTTTGCAATTATTAAATAGATTCTGTTAACAATGGTTTGATTATTTGATAGTGATTTATAAGCACATTCTTATGATAAAGTCGGAATCGTATAAAGAAATACTTTTCATTAACCATTTGCCAGCTTGTCCGGCATCCCTCCCTGCTGCCATCTCCAGCACCTGTCGACTGACTGACAACTGCATGGGCATCACCTGTTGTGCGGACGTCGACCTCAAGTACCTCGGCATCTACACCATCACTGCCGGCATCGAGGTTGACTACTGCAATGACCAACTTATGTACCATATAGAGAACAAAGAGTGGACGAAGAAGCTTCAGGCTGTGGACTATGGTGAGTGGAGAGGATAATTGGGGTAGGAATACCCGAAGAAAATACATATTCATGTTTTCCTTTTTGATATGTTTTCCTTCCTGAATAAAATGCAACAGGAGAGATAATATAAATTACGTACCATAATTATATCAATCAATCTGATCTTGATGGAAAATTAATCTTTTACAGGGAAGAGAATGTATGGATATCAACTATTTTTTCTTATGAGAATAAAAAAAAACACTTGGCATCCATGAATGCTCTTCCTTATCACTTCTAAATGCCTTTAAAAGACTAATCTTTTATCATTGAGTCGGCTATTTTAAGAACTATTTTGGAAACTGTTTCTTGATGGTATTATTGCAGAAATTGAGTGAGTTAAGATTAACACCACTTTGAACAGCTTGATGTGGGAGGAAAAGTCTTAAACATTTTACACTTCGGTGAAACCCATTTGAATGTGTATGTTGCTGACAAAACTAGAGACATAATCAAAGTTTGCTTGGGCGCCCAAGGGTCGCAACTTTACCCCAGTATTATGACCGTTGACAACTGATGTAAAAGGCCTTAATATGCATGACATACTTTGCCGAGAAATGAATATTAAAGCTGCGGAGGCCAAGGTTCTAGGTTTGTTCATCTTGTAATTGTCCAGGGTCTTATGTGAGGACAAAAATTCATTAAATGAATTCATTTCGTTGTGCAATAATGCCTGACGCTCACCAGTTTGTCAGTTGTCATAATGCCAATTCGCTGTTCTGCCAGACAAAAACCACACAGAGCCAGTTGGCAACGCCATCAACCTGAGCTACGTGATCAGCAAAACGCCATCTTTATATGAGGTGTCCTTCCACGTGAAGGTCTGTGCCATGAACGGGCACGACCTCACCAACAACTGCTACTACTACAAACTCCTGGATGAAAAGACGTTCAAGGTGCCATTTACGTGTTCGCCTGTTGGAAGAAGGAGGAAAAGAAGAAGTCCTTTAGACCTGTGAGTGTAGCATAATCCTATACTGAGGGCACATACCAATTCCGTTTGCCTCTAGTGCTTCAATACGTTAATTGCAAGAAAATGGTTTTAGCAAATTAATTTCGTGACATACTTGCATGAGATGGGTGTAATGATATGTATCTCGGTAAACGGCTGTAAAATGTATCTCAGCCCTATAGACCAATACCTGGTGTGTCCATCAGGTTGGGCGGTACATACACCACACTTTGATGGCATACTGTTGATTAACTGATTAACTGTATTGCCCACCATTCAGTCGGAAATGCTACCAAAATCTGGGCCATGTTGCTGGGTCTCTGTCGTACTCACTCTGCCTGAGAACATGCTGTATCAGGGACATGTCAAGGGACTAAGCGAGCAAAAGTAGAATGGCGTCGGAGATACTCAGTGACGACCTGGGCACGATGTGGTCTGGCATTGTCATCTTGCAGTTAAAATATTATGCCGATAATTCTAGCGAATGGAACAAAGACAGGACACACAGTTTTCCTTAACATATCGTTGGCCTGTCAAATGTCCATTCACAATAACTAAATCAGTTCGCCTGTCCTGTGTGATACCGGCCCACACCATGACGCTACCGCTACCACGCCGATCATGGTAAAGAATAATATAATATAATAATTTTTGCCCTGGTCAACTGCTCGCCGCTACGCCGCCAACAACGCTTTCTGCCATCTGTGAATCGGAGGCAACACCTAACTGGCAGAAATACTTAGTGAAGTTAACTTACTTACCTAGAGAATTTCACTGTCCACGCTGACTCCAGCACGATGTGAGATTTTTACTTACCAGTCAGTACATATTTGTTAAATAGACTAGTCTCTGTGGCCTATCGTGGAGATTACAAGCAATATTTCGATATTTTAATACGTGCTCGTTTCTTGGTCATTCTGCGCTCCCTGTTGACATCTGCCAAAACAAGTAAATACAAAATGACATACACAATACAGGTGGAATATAACACATAATGATTTGCAGTGGCATTTAAGGTTAGACCACTCGGATCTGATGTTTAATGGCTGAAATGGTCAGTTAAACCCTTAGGCTCGGAGCACCGAAAAGGTCTAACCAATTTAAACCATGGTTAACATTCATTCTAATATAAGAAGCCTTTCATAGAATATCCTATTTATTATATACTTTTTGTGTAGTGGTTATCGGAAAATTAATTTTTTTCATTACATGTAAATGTAAAACCCTTGAAACGTAAATTATCTCTACCTTACACGCAGGGACATATTACCACCTCTTTTAATAGCGACTTAAAAAGTAGTTCCGAGCTTGCAAAAATCTTTAAAAAATAAACCAAAGCAATAAAAAAGAAGTTTGAGGTCGCTAAAATTCTTCACCATACATTTGGATATAATTATATAAAAATTCGCCGGGCGCGTAATACCAAAATACGTTTAAATATGGTACTTATTGTCATCATATGTGCCGCTCGGCATCAAGTGAAAAAAGAATGAAGCCCATGAAGCCCACTGAGAAATAAATCAGAACACACCAATTTAGAACAACACGAGGGTGAAGGTCAATGATGTTCCAAAGGCAGAACTCAACAGAAAAAAACGGATGAGATAAACATACCTAAGTGCCTCGTCTTGAGAATGAAAGTTTGACAAGCGTGGTGGTTTTACGCACTACTGATTCAATAACGTCAACTTTGCCTGAAATTTGCCTTATTACCCCTATTATCGTCCTTCAAGATCGTTGACAGTCATAACATCTATTGTCATACTTAACTGCCGGTTGTAATGTGTTATCAATTCGCTAATTATTATCATACAACTATTACTGGAAACTAATGTCTCTTACAATTGTGGAAATTTTCAGTTATTTTCGAGTGTCCACTACTTTTTTTAAGGGTATACATTTTTTGAAAATTTGTGAAAAGTGAAGAAGTTGGAAAGGAAATAAACATAATAATTTCCTTGTAAGCAAATCTAACGCATTGAAGTTTTAGTTATACAGAAGGGTTAGCACAATATATAAACAGTTTCCGATAAATACTCCAGTTGAGTATAGTCAAGGCTAATATAAAAATGTCAACAAAATGTACCATAGTGTTTATGTACAACTATTCCATAGATATATGAATGGTAAATGGTAAATAGAGAACTGACTAACGTATGTGGGGGATTTAACGAGCCTGAATTTCTATGGCCTTCTTATTCAGAATACCCACAGGCGATGTAAAGCAGATCATCAATGAAGCTTTGAACCAGAAATTCACGAATGGAGAAATCAAGGATCTGTTTGACAGATTGAAGGCTGAAGCAGTATGATACTGATTTCTATCACTTGTTTGGTTTGATCACTGACTTCCTGAGATGAACTCATTTATACAGCTTTGGGAAAAATCAAATAAACTCTCGTAAACAATTGTTGTTATCCGTTTGAAAATATACATAAATTATATTCTTGACAACAGAGTGTACGTTGAACTGTACGTTTGTAAGAAGCATGGCTTAGCAATAATCAGAAGACTGACTGCCAGAAACAGAAGTAGGAAGTGTACATCTGCTGGTGGAATGCGGGAATGGCACATAGAATGTGGTTTGGATACCATTACCTTAATACATAAATGTAGCAGTGACATACGCCATAAACACATGCTCATTGTAAAGTAGGAATCGTAGAACAGGCGTAGAATAAGACATTTTACATAGTTATGAAAAAGGCTTTGTCGCATTATTTGTACTCAGCCACTGTTTGTTAACTTCATAATCTCCATCTGCATGTCTTATCACCTGTGATGGATTCCTTCCAATAAACGTCTTTCACTGTGGGGGTCTTTTTATCCATTAGCCATTTCAATAGTTTGACTTACAATCTTCCAGAAGAGGGACAGATCACTGTTAATATCACGCACGGATGAATATGGCACAGCAACCAACACTAAGAGTGCCATCAGGAAGATGGGTATAGCTAACCCAGGAACCATTCTGTACTCAGGGGAGGTCGGCGGTGGCAGCGTCGTGCTGGGCATGGAAGGAGGTGGGTAGTTTGTCTTGTCACGAAATATGCATAGAAGTGTCCATCTAAGAGTAGATTAGACATATCGCCTTTGATTGAGAGTTAAAAGATTGTCTTCATGTTGGTCTTTTTCAGGTTAGTTTCTTATATACTTTGTCTTATGTCGATTTCGTGTCTTAATTAGTCATCATTGCTATTCTGTTTGGCAATATTAGTTACCTGCATGTCGCACAATATTACTCTGTCCTTGAAAATGTTCTTTAAATTTGATTGGTAACATGAACTCTAGCTGAAGTCGGAGTGTGTGACTTTGCATTACTTCAACTGATTCTAATTAGTAAAAGTAATTGTTATCAGTATTTACTATAATAGTGTCCCAAGAAAAGTTGTATCTTCTTGCACTTCTGATGATGCAGTGTCGTGAGTTGATGAAATAGCAAAATAAATAAATAAATGGATTAGCAAGCACCATGGGCAAATATTGGCCAAGTTGTTGGCTAAGAGCCTCGTATTTGAATCACGATTTAGTACTGTAACTGATGTCCCCAGGTGAGAAGATCATGAAGGTCCTGGGTCAGGTCACCGACATCCTGGGTCGCGGGGATCAGGCGTACACTGTGGGGAAAGGTCTGACTGGGAGAGGACTGCAGCTGCTCGGTGCTAAACTGGCCAACATGAGCATCGGTGAGATGATCGCCATGTTTGATGCCAAGAACATCGACCCAGAACTTGCTCTTCGTCTGACGAGACAGCTGAGGGATCTGGCTCTTGCCCTGGTAAAGGTCTTTTATAGTACAACTGCAGAAGTGTGTTTTGTTGGTACTTAAAACACTAGTGGCTCTACATTGTAACGTATTTCTTTTCGGCAGAGGACGCGGCGTTTCCATAATATTAACATCACACCATTTCTATCCCTACAAATCTTAAGATTAAGTCATCATCTTATTTAGACAATTATTACATTACCAGCAGTTTCTGTTGAATTTTTTAAATAATTTCTACACTAAGATTATTACGATCAGTGATTCATGTTCACTGGCAGCCAGCTTCTTCCACATGCCCCTTGGGAATTCTTACGCCATGAAAATGCCAAAGGACATGTTCATGAGATAGAAAAAAAAATGGGATTACACTTTCTCAAAAGTATTGATGCAATTCTCTATGATGGGTCCCTGCTGTGAAAAGGTTAAGGCAAAATTATGTCTAAAGTCAAGGTCAGCGTTCAGCTTTTTGTAAAACTTGGTTATGTCATTGTCAGTGTCTTAGCATGGTTACTTCTCCACGAACATGTAACGTAAATATATTTGCATGTACCACAACCGTTGTTGGTCAAGTCAAAGGTCAAGTTCATCCGTGGAGTTATTGTGAAACACGGTTGTATCATTAATTGCAACTGGCTGTGTTGAAATTGTACTTATATATAGTGTAATAATCCCGAGACTTAAGCAATGTTCTGGAAGTAATGTTTTTTAGGCTTGAAGTACATGGTGGTACATTAAAACGTTAAGCATTGAGCAAATGTCAGTGCCGAGTCTGCATTTTGTTTTGCAAGTACTTGCAAACACTTCTGTTTATAAGGCAAGGACGATAACACTTATCCTGACGAAGATACAGAAATGAAACAGATATAGTAAATACACTGTATTACAGTAAATTATATTCACCATTGTCGGTCTCATGCCAACGTTGTCAGTTCTCCCCATACCTCTTACTTTAAATCAACCATCTCGATTTCAGTATTCAGATATCATCAATGCTGTCCTCAATGGCGATGGTGCCAACGCATTTAGCTCATTTGACATTACCCTTCAAGGAGACTTCAGCATACCTAGAACAAACATCGCATTAGCACAGATCAAGCATACATTCCTCATTGGAGGACTTGTACCCATGAGCTTTGGTGAGTAAACATTTACGCTACAATCATGCTAACGCGTGCATGCGTGCGCGTGTGTGTGAACCGAGTTTCTTCCCTTTTCCCAATGCATTCGGATAAACATCGGTTCATATCAGCTAAATGATTCGTATACGAGATAAGCAATTTACCTAAGGTGTGTTCTGATTTATTTCTCAGTGGGCTTCATGGGCTTCATTGTTTTTCACTTGATGACAAGCGGCACATATGATGACAATAAGTACCATATTTAAACGTATTTTGGTGTGACGCGCCCGGCGATCAAACCCGGATCTTTTGTTCGCCGGGCAGATGCTTTATCCACTAGATCTTTGTTACTAAAACTCCCATTGTGCATGTAAACCACCTAATTCAAAGTATCATACCACTGCAATTTTCAGAATTTGGAGGTGGAGTTTCTTTTGGAATGGGAATAGGCGTAGGAGCTAAGATCCTTGGCATGACGGCGTTTGGTCAAGTAGTTCCCTATGGAAGTGCCTTTGTATATGGAGAACTTGGCATTGGATTCATACTGTATGGAAAACTGAGACTTGATGGCTACTTGATGAATATTGCTTTCACATCCAGGGCTGAGATAGGATTCTATAAGTTTCCACTTGATTTAAGGTTGGTATTTGACATCAATTGACACTCTTGGCAGTGAACTTAAAAAGTTTAGTATTGTTTAGTAATAGTTTATATAAATAGTTTAGTCAGAGTCAGCATGTCTCCATAGTATGTCTAGGGCTTCCGTTATGCCCCAACTTGGAACACATGATACATGTGGCGTCTTGTTCTAAATTCGCCTCTGTTCATCCAGCAGTGAGTGAAACCATGTAGAATATAGACGCCGAGTAATATAAGTATTGTGTTAAGTAAATGTGTGTCTTATACAATAGCAATATGATATTATTGCAATTGTGGAACACATTTTCATATCACTTGTAAAATGCGATCAATGTTAGTCTACATAAGAAAGTAACATTACCCAAGGAAACATCTGCCTCATTTGCAACAATCTCTAGTTTGACCATGGATATGGAACTGGTCCCTCTGGAGATAACCCTGCGGGGACTAGTTACCCTGGAGGTCGACCTCTTGCTCGTCACGTTCAAGAAGATATTGTACCAGGCAGTCATCTGGCGATATGCGACTCCTGTGATAAGGAAGAGAATGGTAGATACAGGCAAGAAGGAGGAGGACAAGTCTCCACCACAGTTCCTCAACTATGTGGACAAAACTGTACGTTTTAGAATATTTTGAAAGTTTAGAATTTCAGATGCAATCGACAGCGTATGGCGTCTACATTTCTCAATTTCTTCAGCTCTTTAAATATGTACATTTAGCTTAAAACTAAGCTTTTCTATAAAATTAGTCCATCAAAGGCCTAGTTTATTCAGTCCAGAAATGCTATCATAAAGCTAGAATGTGACACGTGATGTGTTACAATGATGCGCGATTCTACGCCATTTTATTATGTTTACATGGAGACTTCACACGTCCTTACTAATAGGCGCTGACATTAAGTGACATTTGAGCGAATGCCGGCTACTACTGGTAGAGCAGGACATGCTTGGGGTTACCGAATAGTACATATGTTCAAAAGCTAGCTATAGTATACTTTATGGTCCCTGTAATACCACGAGGAGTCAAGGGGACAAAGCAATGCATATATGATCTTTTTCTTTCAGGGTGGTTCTGGTCGAAAGAAGAGGGCAGTGTCCACATCACGGAGCTGCTTCGTGAGACAACTCCCCGATAGAGACTACACAGAGCCGGCTGTAGAGATAGCTATAGCTGCCCAGGATGACCGGAGTCAGGTCCAGATCTTTGTGGATGCTGGGACCAAACCTGGACTCAGTGATGTCCTCAGAAGTCTCAGCCTTGGTGGACCATCTTCAATTATCACTCAGGTATGCAGGGAACGTTGGTGAATATCTATGTCTTAAATATTACTTGGAATGATGTATGTCATGGTCAGTTGAAATTATTTCCCTCTCCCACGTTTTACTGTTGATTTCTGCCTTTGGCTCAACACCACCCTTCTCCCATGCGCTGGTCTGAAGTGAATCAGCCTTTGGAAAATAACCGCCCCTATCCCTAGTGTTGGTCTAAAATGAATCATTCTTAGGGACAACCCTGACCTTCTCCCTCGTTTTGATCTAAAGTGACTCAACCTTTGGAACAACACTAGCCTCCCCCCTTCCGTTGGTCCAAAGTGAATCAGCCTTTGGGACAACACTGACCTTCTCCCTCGTGTTGGTCAAAAGTGACTCAGCCTTTGGGACAACACTGACCTTCTCCCTCGTGTTGGTCAAAAGTGACTCAGCCTTTGGGACAACACTGACCTTCTCCCTCGTGTTGGTCTTAAGTGAATCAGCCTTTGGGACAACACTGGCCTTCTCCCTCGTGTTGGTCTAAAGTGACTCAGCCTTTGGGACAACACTGACCTTCTCCCTTGTGTTGGTCTAAAATGACTCAGCCTTTGGGACAACACTGACCTCCTCCCTCGTGTTGGTCTTAAGTGAATCAGCCTTTGGGACAACACTGGCCTTCTCCCTCGTGTTGGTCTCAAGCAATCTCATTAAAATCAGATCTTAGTTCTCGCTACTGCTAAACTAAGATCTGAGGACATCCCATTACGGGTCACGTCAGACCGACCTTGCGCGAACTTTGACCGACAAATGGAATGAACAATCAGAAGGCAGCTTTCTCGTGCTTTACGGCACTTATTTCAAATTGGCGACTAGCTTCGAAACATATTTTGACAAATTCTCGATTACAAATTTGAAACCTGAACAAGAAAACCCATTCTGGAATGGCTAATAGATGGTCAAGATTTTAAGGATTCAGTCGTTAAACCCGTAACTATCGCTCGGAATACCCCATGTTTAAGTTTTCGGGGTTGCATGATCAGAAATCACATTCCGACTGTCACTTTCATAATCTGGTAAGCGACGTCGACGCTCTGATTGGTCGGATGAAAGGTCGTTCTGACGTGACCCCTAATTGTATGTCTTTAGATCTTTGTTTAGCGGTAGCGAAAACTAAGGTCTGATTTTATTGAGATTGGGTCTCAAGATGCTGGAAACTGAGAACAGTTTTATCTCTTTTTCAAACAATGTTGCAAATACATTAACTATCAAGAATGGTCATCCGACGTTGCACTCATACACTATATTTAGATCTAACACTGCTCCCAAGTTCAGTCTACAAGCTCTATCATCTTGTAGATCCTTAACAAAGTTCAGATGTGGTACCTTTATTTTAAATATTCAACTGTTTAGAAGATCAAAAGTTAATTATATTGGTTTAGCTATGTGCCAGTATTGTTTAAACTTGCAGGAAGATGAATTTCATATTTTGATTGAATCTCCTTCGTATGCAGAGGAAAAAAAGAAAGATATTTCTAATTTCTACACCAGTAAGCCACACCAACAAAAATGTGTACATCTTCTTAAAATCCAAATTAAACATAATTTTACGACTCGCTATTTTTTTAAGACTCAAAAGATAAATGTAAATCACATATAACTGATCTTAGCAGGCGCCCTGTACATACTTTTTTTGTAAAACTATCACTGTACCAATGACCTCATGGCAAAAAATACGAATGTCTGTCTGTCTGTCTGTCTGTCTGTCTGTCTGTCATAATTAATATCATTCTTAAATATTTATGCATTTCTTCTGGGGAGAGCGAAAAGCACTCTCCTTTGCTACTGTTCTTAATTTTCTCTCTTCGTGTTTCCCATAATGTTCAAACACATATATACATCTGCAGACTGTGTATGCTGTTCGAATTCAACATATTTACATTCCGTAGCACTTTAAAGCACTATGTTTAACGTCAGATCAGTTAATACATTGCACATTTCTAAAGCTAATACAAGTGCAGATAGTTTAGATTTAAGTCACTAACAAAATTTCAGGTTTTCCAGACCGTTCATGCATGTTACATGTTGGATACATTTTAGGTTTACGACATATACACTTTAAAGAAGGTAAGGGATACTCGGAAATACCTTAAAGTTTCCAAATTTGTAAGAGGTATTAGTTTCTGGTAATAGTTGTATGGTAATAATGAACGAAATGGAAACACCGGTATTGACAATAGATGTTATGACCGCCAAGGACGATAGGAGTAAGATGGAAAATTTCAAAGTTGACGTTTTTGGATCAGTAGTGCCTAATGCCGCTACGACTTTTCAACCATTCATTCACTCGAGGAGGCATAGTGAGTCTCACAATGGCGATTTGTGGGAGTCTGTCCAACTCCTCTTGTAGCTAAGTTCAGCCAATGTGGTCGGCGGCCTGTGACGCTGACGCACAAGTCTCCCTATCATGTCCCAGATTTGTTCACTGGGTGAAAGGTGTGGGCTCGTTGCTTTCCTTGGCATTCTATGGATGTTGTGCTGCTGGATGTGAGCATTGAGACGATTCGTGCACTTTGAATACGGGCGTTATCGTCCTGAAAGATTCAAAACACACTCAACTTACTATAATATAGCTATTAAGTATCTATACATATAAAGCACCGTAAAGTTCTAACTCTCAGGCACAACATAGTAATAATTAAATTAGTGGAGTAAGATTGAACACAGTTTTAATTGGCTAGCGCTTTCAACTCGTACCACGTACGAGTCTCATCAGGCCATAACTGAATAACTGAAATGAAGTAGTAACATAAAGTTATGTGACGTCATAACATTTACGAGAACTATAACGTCACAATACCAAGGTGACAATGTACAAATAACTTACACCTTTACATTTAACTTTGGCGCGTATTTATGAATGAAATGTTGCTCTTTTTGAAACAAGGTAGGTTCATGATCAAAATTTAGCTTATATAGTGGGAAAACTAAAACGTTGCCGCTTTCACATGTATCTAAATGTTCACTGAGTGGAATCGTGCGGTTATGTGGCTGCTTTATTTGTGAACGGTGAAGATTCATTCTTCTTTTAAGACAGAACTTAAATTAAAATATCCATGTTTTAGCGATTTTCGAAGAATGCCCATGGCGTCCCCGTCTTTTTCACGGTGTATGGTAAGAACAGCGCAGGCGCGAGATCAACCGTCACTTGCAGCATCCCAACCTATGACGTCACGCCTCCTGGTGGCAGACTGACACCAGACTTCAGTTCAACCAGTAACCCAGCTGAGCTGAGAGGGAATGTGGTGGTGTATGAAGATTCAGATCTGGTTAAATCTTCCGTGGGTGTTGGACTGGGAAGGGGAATCTATGGAGATGAAGTCATAGCCTACAACTCTGTCAATCTCAAGGACAGGACCAATGCACACTATGACCGTAAGGAAAAACAATCTGCACAAAAAACCACGAAAAACTGTGAAATGGTAAAATAGATCAACAAAATAATTGGAAAATGTTATATGCTTACACGATGTTCTTCAACTTGCAATTTTTATAAAATAATTATATTTTTGAGAAATGAAGTTGTAATACGTTTTCGAAATGTGTGCATTCAATGTAAACGTCATATGTGTTACTGTAGTTGAAGCTATGTCATTGTCAATCATTTTATGTGCATTACAACCATACCACTATACCCATATTATACAATTCGTTCAATACGAGAAATGGTTTAGGATGCTGTCTTTTTATAGGCAAGAACTAATTTGTCATTACCCTTGTTACAAAGTGTGGTAATATCTCCAAATAATATATGATCGTATTTAGCAGGCTGGATATGTGAAAGGCGATTGTTGTTACTCCTCACAGCTTCATCTGATAATTTTGGCCACGAAGCGCTGAAACATTTCTCGGGTCTGAAGGACGGCCGCCTGATTGGTCCAGTGTTTGCCGAGTTCTTCAGTTTGAACCATGCCGGGTCTTGTGTGAAGGAGTGTATGAAGTTCTCGGAGACCAAATGTATGAGCGTCAACTACGACTACGGCCCGAAAGGACATTGTGAACTATTAGAGGGTATTGAAGGACATGACCACAAAATGTTCATTGTAAGTATAGATGAGGCTTGGTTATGTGATATTATCCATTGTATTTTATCTCCTTTTGATGATAAATACCCTTGATTCATTCACTGATGCAGCTTATCAAAATTTCTCTCACGCATGAGTGGATTTTATATATTATATATTTAGCAGTGTTCAATTCAAAACGGAACTGTGGTGGTGAAAGGGGTCAAGGTATTTACCCGAATAGAATGAAGATGGGATGATCTGGTTTATCGAGGACGGTTATTTGGAGGCTAAACGGTTAAATATATGGAGTCGGACAGTTACACATAACTAACCCCCAAATACACTGAATCACTGAAATACAAAATTGTGACCGACCATGGGATAAGGGACCTTTTGGGTGAAAAAACACATTTTGACTTTTCATTATATTATGAAACTACAGCATCTTCGGAACCCAAAAAAACAATTCACACATCACTGAAGTAAGTTGATGTAAAAAGTATTTATGACGTCATAGCACAATTGTATCCTAGCACCCATAAGGTCCCTTTTCTCCTGGTGGGTCACGAATGTTGACAGAGGAAACTTACACGCTACGGTATCAGCATGATCAAGCACCATCAACTATGTCATACATCGTGACGACCCAATACTCAATTGGTGACGGAGATCGACATCGTTTATTACATTATAAACCACGTCTTAGACTGGTAATATGACAAAATGACGCTGAAACATGTGTGTCATAACACTTGCATGGAGCGTGGTTGACTGACACACGAATTTTGACCTTTCTGGTTGATTCATTCATTTAAATACCTGTTCATAAATAAAGCTACAAAATCCATAATCATACCATATCTCTCCCAAAAGCAGTATCTGTTATACCCTATTCCTATATCACAGGCGTGTGTTTATGAATCACTATTAAGTATTGATGATAACAGGTGTTCGCGAAAAGGTTGCAAGTCAATTGTTCATCTGAAAAAACATAGGAACACGTGGTCCAAGTCAAAATAGGGAATTGCATCGGACATCATTTTTGACATTCATGCGTCAAATTTGGAAATGTGTTCCACATGCCCATCATAACTTTTCGAAAGCTTTGCTAAGTCCTTGCCTTGAAATATATAACCGTGATCAAACAACTTTTAAACAGGAATTGTGTGACTCTTTTTGAAATCTTTGAATAAAGAGTATGATCGATTGTACCTCAAATTTTGTGAAATATAGGCACCAAAGGTTTGAGCTGCTGGAATACCCTCGAAATAAAGAGAACGTTCAAGAAATAAAAGCGACAAAACCCTTTCCATATTCATAAGAAATCACTACTGAAAGCAGAGTCGATTGTCCAATCTCGACTATGCCATAAGTATGTGTTTATGAATCACTATCAATTAGTGATGACACCATGTGTTCGCCAAAAGTTGAGCGTATCCTACCACACCTTTGGCACCCGTCACAAAAACATGCAAAGGGAAGTCAATTATTCAACTGAAAAAAACACGGGAACAAAGGGTACAAGTCAAAATAGGGAATTGCATCGGACATCATTTTGTCATTGATGCGTCAAATTCGGAAATGTCATTTTATGAAAGCTTTACTGAGGCCTTGAATGTTGTAACCTTGATCAAATAACTTCTGAGCAAGAGTCGTACGACGTTCTTTGAAATGATGATAGAAAGAGCATACTCGACTGTGTCTCAAAAGTTGTGAAATGTAAACGCCAAAGACTGAAGCTGCTGGAATATTGCTCGACATTATGGAAATTTGACTATTGGAAAGTTGAAGTCATTCCTCTTGGCATACAGTCTTGTGGAGAGTGTTTATTCATCTTTATGCATAGATCTAAATATGAAATATTCCCTTAATTGGAAGGGAATTGGCTATTTCATGTTTTTTGACCGATATCATCAATATACCTGAAGCTTAATTTAAAGTTCTTGGCCAAATTACCTTGTTTGACTATGGCAATCCGAACAGAAATTCAGATTCATATGCATACAGAAACGGATCGGCAAGAAGGGGAGCACAATTGGTGCCCATCGGGGTACCTACTTGACTTAATGTCCTAAACCCAAAACTCACATCGATGTTATCAATGAGGAAGTCCAGCATTTGACAAAATGTTTTCTCACTAAACTTCATATGACATTTGCCTTCATTTTTGACAAATGTTCCTGCACCATATTCAGTGAATAAAAGCAAGGCCCATGAGAGGACTTAGGGAACTCCAGGATTAGATCATTATCATCTCCCAGCACAAAACCCTTTCCACAATCATAACAAATCTTGAAAGGTCGTTTGTACGATTCCGACTACATCACGATCATGTGTTTATGAATCATCATTAAAGTGTGATAACACCAGGTGTTCGCGAAAAGATTAGCATATTCTGCCGATGTCACCCATCACAAAAAGGTGCAAAGGCAAGTCAATTGTTCATCTGAAAATCACAGGAAATGTGACAAGACACACAGGACAGCAGAATTTCAGATTCATATGCATAAAGGAACAGATCAGCAAGAAGGGGAGCACAGTTGTGCCAATGGGGATGACTATTTCCTGCCAAAATGTCTTATCCCTAAGTGTTACATAGATGTTATCAATGATGCAATCCAGCAATTCACATATTGTTTTCTCACTGAACTCAAGATGACATTTGCTTTCATTTTTAACAAATTATCCTGAACCTCTTAAGACAGATATGTAACAAGACCTATTGTCACAACATTTAGTGACAAGTGCATATAAGTGTTTATGGGATGGTGATGATTAATGTTAAAAAATCAAATGTTTTGACATCATTGAAATTAAGTTCTTTTCTGAGAACTTTCAAACATTCAAGCTAATACTTGGAGCTTTTGAGAATCCGCATGGTATTAATACCACGTATCTCAAGTGCTGTCTTTGAATATGAAGAAAGTCCTTCCTTGGTTGCATTTTGGATTATGGTTAATGTTTGAGACAGGGATTAGGTGGTACATTTGCTGGACCCAGCAATATATCTCTCTTTGTCCGATTGTAATTTAGCTTTAGAATCCAGTGTAGAAGAGTAATGGACATGCCTTCAGGTTTTAGGAGTCAAGTCAAAAGGTGGTGGTACGGATGCATGGTTTGGCAGATGCCTTCCTCAGTTAACATACTGCTTCTATGTGTGGCATTCTTTGATAGCTCATTTCTGGTGTCCCTCGCCTTGATATTGCTGGAATATTGCTACAAGCAGCATAAACCCATAGGGGGAACATTTTATATTCCTTTCAAAGGGTTGTACATCAGGTTACAAACTTACTCACTCACTCACTCACTCACTCACTCACTCACTCACTCACTCACTCACATACTATTTAATATGTCACTTATACCAAGATCTTTGATCACGCAATTATTGTAGTGATGCTTACATATAATGGTTACTACACATTTTTTATGTAGGGCAGCCAGACAATTGGACAATTGGCTTGGGCAGAATTATTTATTCCAATTCTGTTTTTTCCTTTTCATTTGTGCATTCTACAAATGGCAACAACAAGCAGTGACTTAACCCACTCTGAAAGACATTCAAACACGTTCCTGTTTTATGTTTGCCCTACTTTGGGCTTATGCATCCATAATTATTTTAAAGTTGTGGTCCCAATTGGTAGGGGGCAGCTCACAATATGTTTCTCCATATTTGAGTTACCGATGAAGGTTGTAACTGCCAACAAAAGAGAAGTCACCTGTGCTTATATGACCGTATGGCAAGTCGTTTCACATTTATTACGGAATTACAGATATCTTCAAATGTTTTAAAGATATCCTGAATTAAATTGAAGATATCTTCAATTCATCGTGAATGGAATTGAAGATATCCTAAATACAGATAATTGTAGATATCTGCAATATAATTTAAGATATCACAAAATGAATTAAGCTAATGGTGAAGCATATGCATATTCTGGATTACAGAAAAGAATTGCTGATATCTTAAATTCTATTATTGATATCAAAATATGATTTAAAGATATCAAAATGTCATGTTTCGTTATGATGTCAGTAATTCAATTCCTGATATCTTGAAACTAAATACAGATATCAATAATTAATTATTGATATCTTCAATTGTTGCCATTATTAAAGATGTTACTTAAATAATGTTACTTAAATTAGATAACTGATATCAATAATTGATATAAAGAAATCATCAAAATTATAAATGATATCTTTAATTGGATTTTTGATATCAGTAATGGTCAGCCTAAATGATATCTTGAATTGAATTAAAGATATATCTAATTGGATTAAAGATATCTAAAACGAATTAATGATATCTGTAATGCATTTATGGATATGTATAACTTATTTCAAGATATCTTGAATTGAATTTAAGATATCTTGAAATGATTTCTAATATAGTTATGTACAGTAAGATGGTAATTGTTTAATGATATCTTAAATACAATTAGAGATATCACAAACTAATTTGTTGGTATCACCGTAACATTTTAAGATATCAGTAATTGTAATATGGACATCAGAAATGAATTCAAGATATCTTGAATTATTTTTTTTATATCTTTATTGATATTTTTGAATAAAATACCGATATCTTTAAAACAATTGAAGATATCAGTAATTCCGTAATGTGAAAAAGGCTTGCCATATGACCGACAGGTTGGTAACAGTATGATAGAGGAAGTTACATCATGAGCTGCCAAGTCCACGTTCTGTAAAACGTTTCTACAATTGAACAACTTGGATGAGATGGTGTTCGTATAGGAAAATGAAACCGTTGGTGGTTGATGAAATTTGAGTGAGTGAGTGAGTGAGTGAGTATGGTTTTACGCCGCTTTTAGCAATATTCCAGCAATATCACGGCGGGGGACACCAGAAATGGGCTTCACACATTGTACCCATGTCGGGAATCGAACATGGGTCTTCGGCGTGACGAGCGAACGCTTTAACCACTAGGCTACCCGACCGCCCCGATGAAATTTGAAATATAGTAGGACCCTTTTGGAAGTTCAGCGTACAACATGTTGTTTCATCAATTTCAGATGTGTATATACCACAAAAAGGCAAAATAGAGGCGATAATGTAGTGATAAAGGTTTGCCATTCATAAGCTTTGATTTCCCAAATAGCTATATATCTCTATTTAGTTCGCAGGTGTGTTCTTGTATGCGAATCTATGGATACAATTTGCATATGGTGTATTCATACGCACTTTCCCCGCATTATAAATACAAGTAGACATAGCTATATTTTGTTGACAAATGATAGAAATCATCGTTGGTACAAAATAGGATACTCAATTCGTCACAATTTTATATCAAGTTATTTTGTGAAAACAGAGGATTGTTTATGCCTATTCCAAACATAAGCGACAGACAGTAAAAAATTATTCCACTAGGGAAATGGATAGTTCGTTTAATATACTGTAATATAAATATTACATTGATATAACATTAAATCATGACTAATGGTAGAGTATAACTTTTCTAAACACTCCAGGGAAAAGCCATTTCGACACAAGATATTTCCGTACCCTCATGTGTTTTTGTTCAAGAAATCCATTGGATGTATGCATCATGTAATATCTGGTAACCAAATATCATGTTTATCCTTGTAGTATGATCGGTATGCTCACTTTGAGAGACTTGGAGTTGGTCTTGCCCACGAGTTCATCTACAAGGATCTGTCTCTTCGTCACGGCGTCATGTACTACTTCAACATCCACCTCATCAACGACCTACAGTTCGAGTCCATCCTCCATAGCAAGGGTGTTGTGGTGGATGTTACACCTCCCGAGCCAGGTAGGATTTGACCTTGACCTTGATCTGTTGTGTGTTAGTACATTGTGTATCACCTGTATGTTATTATCTTTCCGAACTGATGACAGAGTTTACCAAACTCGGTAACGTATTCATCTTGGGACATCCTGTTCCACATGTACGTCCTGACGCTGTTATGACATTAGCGACGTATTGTTGAATGGTTCATTCTTTCCTCGTGGCTGATACTGTATTTGACATGATACATTGATCACTGAAAACAAATATGCTCTACTTTCAGCAATGTTTTGTACTGCACACTGACTTGAAAGAATTACATTGAATCAGATTTTATGGTTCATTTTTGCAAATATCCCGTGTTAATCTCTACCTCTTGTGTTTCAGGTCCACTGGCTAATGTGAGTCTGGATGTCCTGGAGGTGACCTCGTGTGAGAGTGTGGTTCCAGATGACAGACCGGACTGGGAAGTCAGGTGTCGAGGTGTTAACAGTCAAATTAAAAACCACAGGTGAGAGACAGTTTTTCATAGACATTACCATGTTGAAGACAGGGTTTTATTGATCAAAATATATGATGCAACCCTAAGAAGAATATATAAACTTATGTATCTTTGTGTCTGTGATGATTTGAAATACAGCTTTAAATTAAGGTGGTATTCATCTTACATGTAGCATGGCCATTAACTGACAATCAATCAATGGCAACTGGTACTGGACATATAACCTGATACACATGCCTATCAACATTTTCCTAGTCTGATGCTAGGTTCACGATTGCTTTTACAAGTATAGGCAGGCATATTTCATGAGTGAACACCTGGTGTCATCACTTATTTTCAATTATTCATTCATTTACTTTAGACCGCTATTTTCCCTTTTACGCTCATGTTTACCCTTTTCGGGAACACCTGGTGTCATTACTGACAATAATCCATAAATTCAACAGTCATCACTATGTCAGTTTATGCTTTATTATTTCGCCAGACTCTTCTCTGCCGTTGACGTTGGCGTTATATTTCCAAGAAGAAAACCTAACGATCACAACATCCTTAGGTCACGGGGCCACTGGGCATGTGGACCATTTAAAAAAGTGTTTTTGTATCTATCGCAAGTGACTTGAAATTACTGTTCAAAGTAAGCGTTCTGTTTTCAGGACAATTCATGACGGAACAGGGTCAAAAACCGTTTTCAACGGAGACACACCCCTCACCGATCTCCTGTACACCAGAGCAAACAGATACGTATCAGGTCCGTGAAACATTAAATATAAAGGGAAATTCAACTGTATGAGAATATTTTCGGAGATATGGCTAAAATCATTATTTTGACGTCAATATTTTAATAGTAATTTTCTCCATGTATCATTATGTTCTTAACTAGAAGGAGTAGATGCATTCTTTGTTTTGGTATTCGTTATATATCATGAACTTCCATTTTTTCATTTATGAGGCTAGTTATTATGCTTAAAATCCTCACATAAATTTAAGCGACAGAGCCATTACCCCAGTCATAATCTATCTCTATTCCTTAACACAATTTGAACAGTACTGTACAATTCATGCATAAATAAACAATATATTTAGGTTTAGGGTATGGACCATTCTCATATGCAAAATAGTCTAGTTCGCAGAACAGATATGAATCAAAGCGACAAAACCCATTCCATATTCATGTGAAATTTCTGCTAAAAAAGAGTCCAGTTTACGATTCCGACTATGTCATGAGCATATTTTGATAAATCACTATCAAATAGTGATGATACAAGGCGTTCGCTAATTGGTGGGCGTGTCCAACCCTACTGGTGGAACCCATGCAAAGACAAGTCAAGTGTTCACCTGAAAGAGAACACGGAACACATGGTACAATTCAAAATAGGCAATTGCATCAGACATCATTTTTGTACACCCCACCTCAAATTTGGAATATTCTCAACATGTCTTCCATAAAACTGCCTGACCAAACAACTTTTAAGCAAGCGTCGTTTGACGCTCTTTGAAATCCTTGTAAAAAAGCAAGCCCAATTGTTCCTCAAAAGTTGTGAAATGTATACATTCACAAAGGCCTGGAGCTGATGGAATATTGCTACATTAAGGGAATGTTGACTATTGAAAAGTCTTCCCTCTCATCTTAATGTTGTGGAGAGTTTCGTATCACTCTTAATCTTTATGCATACATGTAGATCTAAATGAAACAGATGAGGCAGTTTTACTGGTCTTTTTATTTCTTGTTCACATGGGAAAATCAGTGGATGGGAATTAGTTTTTTGATCATTTTTGAACGATAACAGATCATCGATATACCTGAAGCTTAAGTTAAACTTAATGGGACAGATTCCCTGTTTTGACTTTACCAATCCGAGCAGAAACTCCGATTCATGTGCATTAACAAACAAATCTGCAAGAAATGGTGCCCATGAGGATGCCTACTTCTTGTCTTCAAATTTCACATTAATGTTATCTAGGAGAAAAACCAACATTTCACATATTGTTATCTCAATAAACTTAAGACATTTGCTTTCATTTTGGACAAATTGTCCTGAATCTCTGAACATAGTGATGAAACTACATCCCTAGTATCACTTTGTTCATTCATGCACTAAACAGTAAACAATATTATTCTTAGACTAGACAATATGAAAGGCTCAGGAACACACTCAATCAGTCTCTTTGTTAATACTTATTGCATCGTTGGGGATTGCTTCAGAGATTCTGGTTTTGTGATGTATTATTACACCTCTGTAGACATTATGGGTGATACATAACTTAGTGTTGGAATAGGTTTTGTCTAAGGGTTTTGCATGGTTTCTACTGTATATCCTTCTGAAACCATCATGTATAACGTTCTTAGGATTTTCGGTTTGTGTCCCTGTTTCAGCTAACTGGGACGGCATCATGGACAAAGAGACTGGCATCCTTGGCTACTCCTGGACCGTGGGGACACAAATCTGTGAGGAGCTGATCCACCCTCATCATGACCCTCACAGGCACCTGTTTGACGAATCAGAGTGGACCAACACTGGCCTCATTTCCCCAATACCAGCTCCTCACGACCCCCTCCCAGGTAAAAATGAAATGTAATGCTTTTAAAAATAGGACAATGCATTAGGACAAGTATCATGTAGGCTTTGCCCTCACAAGAAGATCACCCACCGTTAAAACTGAAACTGTATATACTCATATAAACTGTTATGGAGGTTATTGGCAGTTGATTAGCCTCAGAAGGCAATCAAGAAGAAATTACGTGATTGTCATTGCTCGATGACGATGTTCCCTGCTCTTATGGCTGACAAGCCTCCATCGTCAAGTAAATAGAGGATCTACCTGGTCAGCGAAAAGTCGGTAGCCACGTCATACCAATAGACGTTAAACGATTGTTGTTGCAATTACTGGCTTTCGGCATAATGGGGAACATCTTCCCGAGGCAAGGGCGTTAACTTACTGTAAAAGTCCAGTTTCCACCCATGGCGATCTAGGCTTGAATTTCTGGACGCCGCCAGTGGCTATTACGAGTTATGTCCCTTCTTTGTCACTCCTACTGACGAATCAGATTCCATATCACTTGAATTTGCTTCAAACAAAATGGCGACGCCCAGTCAAGACGATCTGATTGATAATCAAGATCTATATTGTAATAAAACGGGTCTTACTGCGCGAAGTGCATAAAATCACGTGAGCGTCTTGATTAAAAACATGAAAAGATCTGGAAAATATCTGTTGTCGCTAGGTTGACGGTACACATACTTTGCAAAGGCAGGTTACGCATCGGTTTCGTTATGTTTTTTATTGGTTTATGCATAGACTCGTTAGTCCAGCCAAAATAGAACTCCGTAACACCAGATAACTCCATTTATCATATAAAAGGGCAGGTTTCTCGGCAGGATAAAGCCAACGGATAAAAACGATATCCGTTGGGGTCATATGCGGATAGAGATGCAAATAACAAAGGTCAAGTAGGACTACTTTCACTGTTTATAAACAAACATGGCCTCGTCCTCGTCATTCGGCGATCGAGTCAGAATTAACTATCGGGAGTCTGGATAAACTACAGGGATAATTGCTATCATTATCAAAAGAAACAGTCTGATATGCTGAAAATCAGTGTCTAACTGTGACGTAGCTAAGGCATTTTATAAGTTTTGGCAACTTTGGAGATATAAATTTCGAAACAATTTTGCGAGGGCACTAGGCCTAGCCAAGCGGGATCAGTAGCCATGTGCTTGTAGACCTCTGCGGCTTGAAACCTTCTCCACAAATTAAAATTGTTGGATTTGGCCGAAACATGTCTGAATTGTTACCTTGTTTCGTTTTGTCGCTGTGTGTACATCTGACTACACTTCTTAACGTTATGACAGGACTGACCGACTGTCAACAGGCTCGCTAAATACAATGTTTATTCCTAATGCAGGATATTTACCATCCAAAAAAACACTCGCGTGCTAACCTCTATTGCCTCGGGAAGATATAAACGGAAAGAACAAGGGCTGCCCGATGGCCGGCTCTTAGTCCCTATAGCATGTTTGAGTGGGGTATCCATGTTAAATGGGGGCATGGTATCTCAGTGGACTGGCACTATAAAACTCGCATACATCTGGACTAGTTCGAGCAGCCACACGCACACGTGCATGCACATCGCTCTATCAGCGCAATAACCTTGAACTCACTTGATATTTATCACATCGTTTTGAGATTTTGGTTTTGTTTCAGATGGAAAATACTACATCACACTTCGGGCCTTGAATAAAGTTGACTATGGAGGTCCGCTGGTGACAACAATCTGCCACACCACGCCCCTTGGAATAGACAACTCGCCACCACTCCTACATGAAATCTATAACATCTCCTACAATGAAGAGACTTTCTCCATCCATGGGCAGTATAACGCCAGGTAATGTTTTGTTTACGTGTATACATTGTAGTTGAAAAGAATTTATATTTCTGCAGCTCTACTTTTAAAAACAACAACATTCGTTCTGATTTTCTTCTCTCAAAATAAATCGAGAAAAACGTCTATATCATTATTCCACTTTTATACAGTGACCTGGAGTCCGATATTAGAGAAGTGGACTTGTGTCTGGGACATACCACACGTGACTGTCATCACATGGACTGGCAGAGATCCTCGCACAGTGATGGCGACATCACCCGTCAGTTCCAGATACCAGGTGGAACTCCTGCCTGGATTAAAGTCAGAGTCATCAACAATGGTGAGTTATAGTTACACAAGTTCCAATTCCCAGGAATAACATTTTTTTGCATCAGATACCACGTTGTGAACAGATTATATGCCGTAAATGAGGTTGGTTAAAGTTTGTTTTACATACATACAGCTGTCAGCATGTCGAGGTATAAACTTTCTGTCTTCTACGTCCCACATCCCTGGTGTTCTATGTCGTGCATTCTATCAGTTATTCGAATCCGACCCCCAGATCCTCTTTAGTTGCCTTTTATTACAAGGATAGGTTGCTGAAGACCAATTTTATTTTGGTGTCCTCGCAAGTTTCAAACACCCACAGACGTTATGAACATGTATTATTTAACATATTAACTATGTTTTAGTTGATTTGATGAAAGTGGGCGTGTCCGACCATCCGATTGTAGTCGACACATCACCTCCCGAGCCAGGCATTGTTTTTGATGGACCCGTCTTCAGACTCGACCTCAACTTTACCAAGGATGCTGATAAGGTAGATGTTTTCAATAAAACTGATATCTCTGTAAATATTTGATAACAAAATATTTATATTCAATTTTGCTGGATATACATTGTCCAGTTGCCCCCAATATTCCACAAAGGTTCCAGCTTTATACCCAAACAACTTTCATTCCTTTTCATAGTGAGTTCTGGTGTAATTTATTCCAGATTTGTGCCAACTGGTTTGGGTTTTATGATCCCGAGTCTGGTATTTCCCACTACGAGTTGTCGGTTCTTGATGACACAAACATGGCGATCTCTGAGCCGGTCAGTCTTGACCACAAGACACACGAGACCTGTGTCCAGCTTGACCCTGACCAGAGGCTCGAACACAGCATGGCCTACAGCTTCTATATCACCGCATTCAACGCTGGCCACAAACAGCTGAACATATCAGCAATGTCAAATGGAGGTAATGCAATGTTTGCTGAAGGTAATGCAATGTCAGATGGAGGTAATACAACGTCATATGGAGGTAATGCAATGTCAGATAGAGGTAATACAACGTCATATGGAGGTAATACAATGTCATATGGAGGTAATGCAATGTTGGATGGAGGTGATGCTATGTCAGATGGAGGTAATACAACGTCATATGGAAGTAATACAATGTCATATGGAGGTAATGCAATGTTGGATGGAGGTGATGCAATGTCAGATGGATGTAATACAATGTCAGATGAAGGTCATGCAATGTCAGATGGAGGTAATGCAATGTCAGATGGAGGTAATGCAATGTCAGATGGAGGTAATGCAATGTCGGATGGAGGTAATACAATGTCGGATGGAGGTAATGCAATGTCAGATGGAGGTAATGCAATGTCAGATGGAGGTGATGCAATGTCAGATGGAGGTGATGCAATGTTTGATGAAGGTAATGCAATGTCAGATGGAGGTAATACAACGTCATATGGAGGTAATGCAATGTCAGATAGAGGTAATACAACGTCATATGGAAGTAATACAATGTCATATGGAGGTAATGCAATGTTGGATGGAGGTGATGCAATGTCAGATGGATGTAATACAATGTCAGATGAAGGTCATGCAATGTCATATGGAGGTAATGCAATGTCAGATGGAGGTAATGCAATGTCAGATGGAGGTAATGCAATGTCGGATGGAGGTAATACAATGTCGGATGGAGGTAATGCAATGTCAGATGGAGGTAATGCAATGTCAGATGGAGGTGATGCAATGTCAGATGGAGGTGATGCAAAATCAGATAGAGGTAATGCAATGTCAGATTGGGGTAATGCAGTGTCAGATAGGGTTAATCCAATGCCAGATGGGGGTTATGCAATGCCAGATGGAGATTATGCAATGTCAGATTGAGTTAATGCAATGTCAGATGGAGGTAATGCAATGACAGGGCACTGGATATAGTTGCTATTTTACACTATTTTCTGTTTTTTTCTAGCTTTGTGTTTATAATACCTTTCTCTTGGAGATGCATTAACACTGTGTGATGATTTTGTCATCATTTCAGCTTTTACACATTTTGTTGAATTTCCGTACTACTACTTGGAGTACTACTCTTCAAATATCGCTGTTTAGGTACTGTAAATGATGTATGATGCTGGCATGGCAAATTCCCAGAACTTTGCAGAAAGGTAATTCTTTGTGTTGTAAAAAATGCCAGTGCTCCTAACATGTTTATTAGTGTTCATGTCAGGCCCCATATATCCAGTGACAGGTGATAAATGTCTAAAAACTGTGTGTCATCACTGACAAGGGTTTCACAGATGCCCTACTGCTCTACATCGTCGTAATTCATTGTCAAGAATTTAGTCCATGCAGGGGTTCGAATCCTTCATTTAAGATCCTTGGCTTAACCACCACTCCCCAGCCCCATCACTCCCAATCCCCATTTTCATCACTCCCCACGCCCATTCCAATCCCCACCCCACCCCACCCCTTCACTCCCCAACCCCATCCCCATCAAACCAACACATAGTGATTTCATTGGAATACTGTCACTATTCCAGTGATCGTGGACCTGACTCCCCCGGTGCCGGGTGAAGCTGTTGACGGTATACGGAACGGATTTGACGACGTTGAGTTCAGTACCCACGTTGCCACAGTAGGAACCCAGTGGAGGAACCACAGTGACCCCGAGTCGGACATCAGAGAATATGCTGTACAGGTACTCAGAGCAAAGTAAGTGGGAAGTAAATCACTGAGGAACTATGGTGACCCCGAGACGGACATCAGAGAATATGCTGTACAGGTACTCAGAGCTAAGTAAGTGGGAAGTAAATCACTGAGGAACTAGAGTGACCCCGAGTCGGACATCAGAGAATATGCTGTACAGGTACTCAGAGCAAAGTAAGTGGGAAGTAAATCACTGAGGAACTAGAGTAACCCCGAGTCGGACATCAGAGAATATGCTGTACAGGTACTCAGAGCAAAGTAAGTGGGAAGTAAATCACTGAGGAACTAGAGTGACCCCGAGTCTGACATCAGAGAATATGCTGTACAGGTACTCAGAGCTAAGTAAGTGGGAAGTAAATCACTGAGGAACTAGAGTGACCCCGAGTCTGACATCAGAGAATATGCTGTACAGATACTCAGAGCAAAGTAAGTGGGAAGTAAATCACTGAGGAACTCTAGTGACCCCGAGTCTGACATCAGAGGATATGCTGTACAGATACTCAGAGCAAAGTAGGTGGGAAGTAAATCACTGAGGAACTAGAGTCACCCCGAGTCTGACATCAGAGAATATGCTGTACAGGTACTCAGAGCAAAGCAAGTGGGAAGTAAATCACTGAGGAACTAGAGTGACCCCGAGTCTGACATCAGAGAATATGCTGTACAGGTACTCAGAGCAAAGTAAGTGGGAAGTAAATCACTGAGGAACAAGAGTGACCCCGAGTCGGACATCAGAGAATATGCTGTACAGGTACTCAGAGCAAAGTAAGTGGGAAGTAAATCACTGAGGAACTAGAGTCACCCCGAGTCTGACATCAGAGAATATGCTGTACAGATACTCAGAGCAAAGTAAATGGGAAGTAAATCACTGAGGAACTAGAGTGACCCCGAGTCTGACATCAGAGAATATGCTGTACAGGTACTCAGAGCAAAGTAAGTGGGAAGTAAATCACTGAGGAACTAGAGTGACCCCGAGTCTGACATCAGAGAATATGCTGTACAGATACTCAGAGCAAAGTAAGTGGGAAGTAAATCACTGAGGAACTAGAGTGACCCCGAGTCTGACATCAGAGAATATGCTGTACAGGTACTCAGAGCAAAGTAAGTGGGAAGTAAATCACTGAGGAACTAGAGTGACCCCGAGTCTGACATCAGAGAATATGCTGTACAGGTACTCAGAGCAAAGTAAGTGGGAAGTAAATCACTGAGGAACTAGAGTGACCCCGAGTCTGACATCAGAGAGTATGCTGTACAGATACTCAGAGCAAAGTAAGTGGGAAGTAAATCACTGAGGAAACATTTGCCATGTGCAATGCTACACTGACTCAATCATGTTCCAATGAAATGCCATGTATAATTGTGTATAATGTTAATGCTGAATAATATTATTCTTATTTAGATCGAACAGGGGCGGGAATGATATCATTATGTCTCAAGGAACATATTTATATGTGATTTAACCAATTATGCAGATTCAAATAGCTTCACCAGGAGTGATACCGCACTGCCTAGATTGGCGTGGTTCCATTTTGCATATGAATCTTCTGAAAGAAACAGTGAAAACAAGTTACTCTTCTAGGGGAACGTATATAGTTATATGACCACAAAGTCATTACTCCATATTCATTGGACGTGTTCACTTAAAACTTGACTGGACGATAAACGGAATTTCAATGTACAAGTATTCAACTTGACTTAGAATATCTCACCATGGTATGATACTCTGATATAGCGACTAAGGTTTGACAGGTCCTACTGTGTCTAAAGAGCGGTCGGGTAGCCTAGTGGTTAAAGCCATGCCGAAGACCCGGGTTCGATTCCTGACATGGGTACAATGTGTGAAGCCCATGTGTGGTGTCCCCGTCGTGATATTGCTAGAATATTGCTAAAAGCGGCATAAAAATCAAACTCACTCACTCACTGTGTTTAAACTTTCGCCGCTGACATCACACTATATTGAATCTGTGTATTCCAGAGGATTGTCTCCTGACTTTGAGGTATTAAAAGACTGGGAGACTCTGGGCAAAGACGTCAGCCAGACCGAGTGGCACAACTTCCACCTGAACCATCAGGACGTTGTCAAGACGAAGCTGAAAACCATCAACAACGCCCTGGGGACTGTAGAACAGACAACAGATGGGTTTGTAGTGGATCTCACTCCGCCCAGGATGGTGTTCCTAGGTGATGGACGAGAACAGAACAAAGATGCGGAGTTCCAGGTGGGTGACATGTAAAGATCGAGGATTACAGTTCTGAAAAGTAAATGAATTATTTTCAGGATTCGATAGCAATAACAATCTAAACTAATGTGCAGAAAACAATTTGAAAACAAAAATACCCTTATCTTGACAACAACTGTCTTACTGGTTTAAGTATATTTGATCTTTCGGACTCCTTTAGCCGTAAAGGGGTTATTGATACCTGACACATGAAATATGTGTTTGGGAACACCTGGTGTCATTTGATAAAATCATTTCCAGAACAAAGATACTAGTATGAATAAACCAAATGGTTTGTCCTTTTTATATACTCTTAGTGTCAAAGTAGAGGCAGTTGCAATGTGGCTCAAATATCATTGTGTTACATTCGTGTACAAAAATTTCACTATGTTTAGTTAATTATATGTTTCACCATCTACTTGCACCATCACCCATTTTTTGTTAATTATATATTTCATGTTATCTCCTCGCAGATATCTGGCACAACTGTGGAAGCCATTTTCCAGTTTAAAGATGACGAATCTGGCTTGGATCATTACAAATACCAGGTGTATGAGCTTTACCATGGGTCAAAACATCAGATCTACCCGGGTAAGTGATCTTGTTACATAACTTTAACACAACCTTTTTATATGGAATACCGTCAACAGCCTTGCGGAGAGTGTCATACTCAGAATATTTACATGAAGATCATGATGACGTTTCCAAGACCTACATGTGAGTGTGCGATTCCGCTGGAACAATTCTCAAGTATTTATAACATGGTACGTAATCTTAATGCTGGAGACAGCCCATGTGACACTCAAGCATGGGTATGGTGTTGACGATCATACTATCTTGGTATTCGAACCAACGCCAGCGATTCTTTGCGCAGCTAAGGAAAGCAAAACTGACCATAGACCTTATATTACCCGTGGCGTCTATACCCATGCTCATACTTATTGTTGCCCTTATACTGAGATGCACATATTATGAGCGTGGATATATGACTGTTTCAAGTCACAATATGGCCGACATTACGTTTAAACTCGCTCGCTCTATCGTTTTGTAACGAGGCTAAATTTCCTGGCTTTAACAGACCCAGAAGGTTGGGAGATCACCAGCGACCCAAGCAGCACCAGTGTCATGAAGTCTGGCTTGAGTCTCCGACCGGGTGCCCAGTACAGTGTGAGAGTCGGGGCCGTCAACAGAGCCGGGGCCGTCGCCATCTACGACACAAACGGTGTGCTTGTTGATAATACTCCACCTCAGGTAAGAAATATAACCTACATACGGAAGTCTAAAGGTTTACTCGGGACAGTATCAATAATCCAGTATTTGTCAAATTATAATGGTTTAAATGGCCACTTGGCTACACGGTCGTCCCTCAGTAAGTTTAGAATGAGTGAATGAGTGAGTATTGTCTTACGGTGTTTCCAGCAGTATTTGATAAAACCACGCCAGGGTCACATTGTAGCCATTGCAATGTCGGGCGATAGGGCATCCATCCAACCAAGTGTGGCCACCAGATCGTTGACGACAAAGCTTTGAGATAATGGGTACTTATTCTAACCTGTTAAAAATTCAGAGATACACTATGGGATTTCAGATAATACTTCTGTTTCTTAACTCTATTATTGAGCATTTATGGGAAAACGTATACAGAATCAAGCTCAGTTTTATTCAACTTTATTCGTCACAGATGAAATGGGTCTATGTTGGCATTTTCTCTGGCAATGAAGAAGAGTTAATCGACGGCTACGTTACCCAGTCTGACCCTAGCGGTATCAAGGCCACCTGGTTTGCCAAGGACAGTGAGAGTGGCATCAAGTCGTACATGGTCGCAATTTGTACCACTGAAGGTCTGTATATTCCTCAAATATGAAGCCCACAATGTTGTCATCACTTCTAGCTTTTTGCACACAAGAAATTATATTCTTAATAGAACCAAAGTCTAACCAAACTGCCTCCCAGGTGTAGCGGTATCTGCTTGGATAGTTGGTGGTCGATGGTTCCATACCCTGGCCTTGTCATATCAAAAGACGATAAAAGATGGTTCTTATTGTCACCCTGCCTGGCACATGGCATTAAGGGGATAAAACGAGTACTGGCCGGCTCAGTGTCAGGAAAATGTTTCTTAATGGAGTATCCATAGTGGAAATCGCGGCATATTATCTCATTTGGCACTATAAAACCGATATAAATCCGGATCTGTAAAAGCAGCAACACACACCTGCGCGTACGTCGTTATATAAATGATAAAGTCTAGGAACGTGACGTTATTCCATTTCACGTTACCTGACACAAATGAATGCAATCTAGTTGGTTGTATATTCTGAACTATTTTTCAGGGGGTACTGATATCCTAAACTGGAAGGACTTTGGTTCTGACAGAGACAAATACATGGACGAGTTGACCTTGACCGTGACCGACCTTGACACGATGACCCCAGTTTATTATGTGTCTGTAAAGGCGAGCAATGGAGCTGGTCTGACCAGTGACGTCATCACATCAAACCCCATCCGGGTGGTTGACCAGGACAAGGCAGGTATGTGTACTTTAATGTATATTTATCATCAGCATCATCGTCGTCACCATCGTCAACATAATAATTCCCGCACTTCCTCAAACAGAACACTGAAATGAATCCTTATTCCAAGGTATTGTCATCGACGGCGCCGACTCGACCGAGAGAGCTAACTTCATGGGCATCGGTATCGACATGGACTACCAGAAAGACACGGGTGTTGTGACGATACAGTTTGCCGGGTTTGAGAGCCACGAGCACGGTGTGACGTACTATGATTGGGCGGTAGGCACGACACCTGGTGGTGAGGAGGTGCAACCGTTTATCATGGCGGGTCTCATACATGAAGAAGCAGAGACCAATGTTCCTGGAAATGGTAGGTGGAACATATTTGCAGATTCGCATATGGTTTTGAATTCTTATCCTCCAAATAGTATCAAAGCATTGTACACATGAATTCTTCTTTACAGACGTCGTTCGATGCCTTACAGTACCCTTTACCATCAACATGACGAGCTGGAAAACACATATATGCGCATCATGGGATGTTTAAGATGATCCTTTGGAATATGTAGTACTAATCCTTTTTAAATTTTATTCACGAATTCCCTGTGACATGTTACTTTATATTGTACAGGTATCGCTAGCATGGGTTTTTGCCAGGCTGTCCTCCCACTGTCATCCGGCACGACATACTACACCACAGTCCGCGGCATCACCAACGCAGGCAACATCCTTGAATCTACTTCAGATGGGTTTACTGTTGATATCACGGCTCCTGACATCCACATCAAAAGGTAGACACATAATCAAAGCATTATCCATTTTTAAAAAGGTTGAGAGGTAACAGAACGACACTTATACAATGACTATCTTATTTATACTGACATTCGGTAGTGATGTATGCTCACCAAATATGTATGTAATTTTCGAAATGGATGCAATCAAGGAGAATACCAAGTTTCATGAAGACTGCTACCTTATCCAATGCTACCAGCAGGCTTGTTTCTTATCGAGACCAAACTATATTTTCAAGTACCCAAACAGCAAGTATTTTTACAAAGCAATATTTATGAACTATGGTTCTGTAAGCAACCAGAGAAGTCTGACTTCAACTAATTATTCTTCGCGTTTGACTCGCAGCAGTGGTTCTGCGAACAATCAAAGCAGATTAACCCTAACAGTCTACCACTTAAAGGGACCACTAACTAAACACTGTACATGTTTCCCTCGCAGCTATGGCTCTGAGAACAACCAGAGCAACCCTTTACAAACGCTTTGTACGTCAACATAAACATTGTCCAAGTTTCCCTCGCAGCTATGGTCCTGAGAACAACCAGAGCAGACTGACCCCAACCACGACACTGTACCAGACTGAGGTGGACTCCATCTCCTCCTCCTGGAGGGCTGCAGACAGTGAGAGTCCAGTCAAGAAGATGTACTACTCTGTGGGGACCTACCCCAACGGGGAGGATGTCCAGCCCCGGACTGACGTGGATATCCTACTGACCGGTGAGGGCGCGCTACCCACTGGCATCAAACCCACAACTGACGGTAAGAATTGACAGAAGCAAACAGAAGGAGTGTTTTATGATATGAGCAAATTATGCGATGGTCAAGACTGGTAATCTAGTTTTCGTTTAGATATTAAACGTACTTATCGTATGATTTTATCACAGTTAGAATTATTTGTGGCGTTCCAAAACAAATATAAGATTAATTGAAACCTTTGAACAAATCCTGATGTTAACTTTAATTCTGCTGACACCAGTAGTCTCCTTGAAAACGACTTGCATACAGACTACAAGTTTATTTCAAATGTTGTGATTTATGGTGTATTTGTTCCATGCAGATATTTTAAAACAATTGTATCAAATATGTTTCAGGAAAACCAAACATTCTGACTCTGACAGCCGAAAATGAACTGGGGTTGTCTGCTAGCATTATCTCCCCTTATCTTGTGGTGGACACCTCATCCCCAACAGAGGGGGTGTTGACATGTCCAAGCTTCATTCAGGTACGACGTATAGTTCAATCCCTTCTGAGAAATCCAGGTTAGAATCCAGTACTTCATGCTTGTCCTAATGGCGTTATGGAGATCGAATCGGCAGGCTCAGTGACTTGGCTGACTGCTTGATTATCACTCATACTGTCGGTCATCTGTTTGCCTGGTCCAGACTCGGGGCGTAGTGCACTTTACCGGGCGCACTTTTTCAGATCCAATTAGCGCTGTTGGGGCTCGAACGCGCTTCGCCGACTCACCGGCTCTGCTAATTTATGCGTTAATTAGCCGACGCTTTACCACTGGACCACAGGCGCTATCACATGTAATCAGTGCTCGTTTAACATGTCATTAGAATCACTATTGACATGCACGTGAAATTCAGTAAACAATGAATTGCGCATGCGTGTGACGTCACGGCCCGCTCTCCCATTCATCTTTTCTTGAAACCACACCCGCAATTGTTTATGTCAACATGACCGACCAATGGGATTAACTGAATTAACGCTTGAAAAAGTAAGAATTTATGACTAACCCTTGCCCAAAGCCAGCTAACCCTAATGACCGAAAAACGGGTGTTGGATCGTAAAGACGTGTAAGTTTCCCTAAGACCTAGAACGGGTGTTTGATCGTAAAGATGTGTAAGTTTCCCTAAGACCGAGAACGGGTGTTTGATTGTAAAGATGTGTAAGTTTCCCTAAGTCCGAGAACGGGTGTTTGATTGTAAAGATGTGTAAGTTTCCCTAAGACCGAGAACGGGTGTTTGATTGTAAAGATGTGTAAGTTTCCCTAAGACCGAGAACGGGTGTTTGATTGTAAAGATGTGTAAGTTTCCCTAAGACCGAAAACGGGTGTTGGATCGTGAAGCGAGAGTCACCAGAGCGTGAGGCACGGTAACGGTATAACGAGACAGCGTGGCACTATAGCACGGTAATTGAGCGGATGGTAGAGCTCGGGCTGCGCCCGGTAAACTGCATTGTTGCCCAGACTCGACTTACAGGACGACAAGGGTGTTTCCGTCTGTCCATAAGATCGACTTGATTCCACAACCTTGAGATAAAACGTGCTTCGATTATGTAATATATAATGCTCCACTTCACATTACCACTCACAATGATGAGCTAATGATCAACTGTTTCCATGAAATGTTTCAATATCATCTTCTGGTAAAACTTTTCATATTTATATATATATATATATATATTGACAGCCGAGATTTTATGAAGAAATTTCACATTGTTTCTGTAAATGCAGCCGAGATCTGCAGTGGAGTGCACATGGACAGGGTTCTACGATGCCGAGAGTCAGGTTGTAGAGTTTGAGTTCGCTGTAGGCTCCCATGAGGGGCTGGAGGACGTCATAGCACCTGTCAAACTGCCGGGACATGCTGCCAAATATCTAGTCTCAGGTACAGAAGGATAACTGAATCTGTGTGTAAAAACAGTTCCAACCTTCCGAGATTCTCTCTCTATCTCACTTACACACGCACATACACGCACACATACACGCACACACACACACATACACGTACGCACACATACACACAGATACACATATATACACAGATACATACACACACGCACACATACACATACACACAGGCACACACATACACACACACGTACGCACACATACACGCACACACGCACACACACATACACGTACGCACACATACACACAGACACACATATATACACAGATACATACACACACGCACACATACACATACACACAGGCACACACATACACACACACGCACGCACACTGAACGCACACATACACGCACATACACATACACACACGCACACACATAAACATACACACACACGCACGCACGCACACACACACATACGCACACAAAATCACACACATACACACACACAAACACACACATCTTTTGAAAGATACGATAATTGGAAATAAAGTGGCAACGTTTTCATACTTAGGCTTAGCTGATAAGGTGACACATGGTCAGAGATACTATGCCAAGGTAAAGGCCATAAACAAAGTGGGAATGACGTCATCTAGCATCTCCAACGCCATCAACGTGGACACCACACCCCCATCGCCGGGCACTGTGGTGGAGTTGAAGTCTGTCTACATCATCAACGTCACCGACGAGGTCATCACCGAGAAGCTCAACACCTACAAGTGTGACACACAGGAAGGTAGTTGCCATCGTTGTGTAAATAACTTAGACTGTGGACATAATGCCCTCTACAGAGACTGTGTTCGACAGTTTATTTGTAGAAGTTTCTTGGATCTGTGCTATGACAAACGTCAGAAAGGACGCCCTTGTTGGTCAGGGTATGTCTGTCATTTTGACCGATAAACACGTTTCATGACATGGAACGACTATTGTTTAAGACAGCTATGTGGCAGATTCATATAATTACAAACATTTCGTTTGGACAATTGAAATGGTTAAGATGGTTACATTTCATTCAATGCTTCAAGGAAATGCTTTCTTTTCACCTCTTGGCCTTTTATGCTATGTGTACATCCTACACTGTGTTACATCACTAGTGTGTACACTATGTGTAACATTACTACATCCTACACTATGTGTTACATTACTACATCCTACACTGTGTTACATCACTACTGTGTACACTATGTGTCACATTACAACATCCTACACTATGTGTAACATTACAACATCCTACACTGTGTTACATCACTACTGTGTACACTATGTGTCACATTACAACATCCTACAATATGTGTAACATTACAACATCCTACACTGTGTTACATCACTACTGTGTACACTATGTGTCACATTACAACATCCTACACTATGTGTAACATTACAACATCCTACACTGTGTTACATCACTACTGTGTACACTATGTGTCACATTACAACATCCTACACTATGTGTCACATTACAACACCCTACACTGTGTTACATCACTACTGTGTACACTATGTGTTACATTACTACATCCTTCACAACTGTATGTCCACAGACTGCCTGGCTATAGACGCGGTGTGCCAGGAGTCTCTGTCCACTGTCAACGTGGCCTGGCAGACCTTCGCTGATGACGAGACGGAGATTGTCAAGTACGTCATGATGACAGTCATTTAATATGTTCTGAACCCGCAGTATTTCAGTAATGCAGGAAGAAAGCATAAAGAAGCCTGATAGCCACTTTGCACAGACACATGTAGATCTGAGCACTTCCTGTATAATAAGACCATATCAAGGTACAGGAGTAGCATCTTCTCTTAATTTTACGTATAAAAAGCTTTGTTTTTGCCTCTCATTTCGACGTTTTGGCTTCTCCAGATACGAGATAGCTGTTGGCACTTCACCTGGAGGGGGACAGCTGAGGGGGTTCTTTGAGACTGATGACGTCACAAAGAGATACCTGTCAGTCACGGGCCTGATACTGAAGGGAGTGAGACAGGTGAGATAACTCTTGACCCTTGACTCTTGACAAAAGGGATATCCCTGAGTTGTATATGTAGTTTGTGTCATGCCCACAAGATGGGTAATGTGTTATTCTCAACATCACTTCCATAATAAGCATCACAGGGGAATCTAAGTTTGGATTTACTAGGAACACACACCGCATCCAATGATTAATTTCAAATTACAGATATTTGTGACAGTAAAAGCTACCAACGGAGCTGGCCTCAGCACAATATCGACGTCTAACGGTATCTACATGTCCTACCTCAGTCAGGGCTTGGAGCCGCTCACTCATGTTGGAATCTGGGATGGCGAAAGTCACGATGGAGACCTGTGAGTATTGTCTGTGAACACAGTGTGAAACCTCGTGAATATCTGTCTCAAATCATACCAACAACTCAAACCCACAAGGTAGACTTAAAAAACGCCCAGTGCCTTTTGTCTTTAATTTGTGATTGACCTTGTTTCTCTTCAGTGGGACGTGTCTGGTAATATCATCATCTTCAGATGATTCAGTATCTAATTTGTAGTTGACCTTGTTTCTCTACAGTGATTTCCAGACAAGTCTGTCCCGGATGGGGGCCAAGTGGGACGTGTCAGGTGACCCTTGTCCAGTGGTCAAGTATGAGTGGGCAATACAAAGGGCTGACGGTCTGAGGGTCCAGGAGTACTTCAATACAGAAGGTGGGCGTTGTGACAGCAGCTGACAATGATCACATGTATTCTGTAAGGCGTTTGTATTTTTTTATGTAAAGATGTATTTCCAAAACATTGTCCAATAATGAAATTAGTTATCAGAACAAAATAAATTTAACTTTACTCCACATTTGTAAAATATTGTGAAGATTCGATGACCAAGTAGTAAATTGAAAAGGCGCCTAACTGTTTTAGATATTTGAGATGCTTCAGTTTGTATAATCCGTCATATTCAAATCTAAAATATATTTGACTTGTTCGGCTGTAGTTGTCTCTGTTGTTTGTTGTGCTGAATCTCATAAATTGTTCTTCAATTCCAGGAAGAAATCATGGCGTCAACGACCAGCTGAACATGCAGAACATGGAACGCTACTACCAGTACCTACGGGTGACCAACGCCATGGACTACACCTACACCATCAGGTCGAACGGCATCACCATCGAGGATGACCCCCTGGTGCCTGGACAGGTCAATGATGGAGATGTCGTGGGATTTGACCTTGAGTTCTTCCGAACTAAAAGTAAAGTCAGCGCCAACTGGGACAAGTTTGGCAGCGATGGCAACGCTGACGATGTGTCAACTTGGATAAAAGCTGGTTAGATGATTTATTTGTCATATTCAATTGCCATGTCCTCATACAAATGTTAACATTTGGATAGTCTTACCGTCTCTCATGTAGGAACTCAAAGAAACTGTCAAATAGAAAATGTAGAAACAAGAACAAAACATAATCAGATTATTTAATAAAAAGCTGTATGCCTAAAGACTGGATTAAAAAAAACATAGAAATTGCTCGTGTGTTTTTTTAAATACCTGAACTTTCACCTTTATAGAGAACGTTATTGATGAGGACAAAGATAAATCTTCCAACCAAGAAGTCGCTTTCTACGAGGTTGCTGTTGGAACTGACCGCCGTTTCGCCAAAACACGTGTCAACGTTGTAGCGTTTGTCAACGTTGGCCTCAACAAGACTGTGACCTTCTACGACCTTGACCTCACCCCAATCACGGCAATGTATTACTTCACTGTGAGAGCACACAGCCGCTCCGGTTCTAGGACTGACGTCACGTCCAATGGCTTCTCTGTTGGCTTTGATGGAGGAGTCTCCGGTGAGACCTTCACTTTTCCCGAAATTGTTGAACCACGTAGATTAATATATGTAGGAAAACATAGACATTGCACAGTAAATATAAGAATAATATGGGGCTCTAATTGTATATAACTGGCGTTTAAATATTTTCTACCATAACCAAGTTCTACACCCAAGACGGCTCCACGACGCTGTCTGTCAAATCTTATTCAGAACATATACACTAATTACTTACCCCTGGCAAAATATGACCATCTATGGGTTTTCTGACTCAAGGTGTTGCTACTTTGTAAGAATAGTCGTGTGGGTGAATGTATCGATCAGTAATCGCGAACACCACTTCCTGAACATATCTCATCGCCTTGTGTTTCAGCCGGTGTCATCGACATGAAGGAATTTGTCAACACTGACACCTACGTAGATGTAGCGTGGGACTGATTCGAATCCAGGATTGGCATGATGATGTACTACGTGGGCCTGTCCAACAACACGGAGGCTGGCAACTATAGATGCGGACAGTTTGTGAGTATAGATGGCAGACACCTATAGATGTGGACAGTTTTTGACTATAGATGACAGACATCTATAGATGTGGACAGTTTGTGAGTATAGATGGCAGACAACTATAGATGTTGACAGTTTGTGAGTATATATGGCAGACAGCTATAGATGTGGACAGTTTGTGACTATAGATGGCAGACATCTATAGATGTGGGCAGTTTGTGAGTATAGCTGACCCTCGCAAACTAGTACTTATGCTTCTATCATCCAGTCGCTGTGGCCTTTGTAATTCCAGATTTCACTAATGTTGGTGACATTTTTCAGACTGAAAGAGGCTCCATCTCTGACGATGAACGACAAGGTATTTTCAACATTGTGGACCTACAAAATGTCGGGAAGGACACATTCATGAAATTTGAAAATCTGTCTCTGGGCCAGAACGGAGTCTACTATGCTTGGGTGGTCGGTAAGTTGAAGCAAAAAGTCAGAGACATGGTGTTGTAGCTGCTAACGACGGAAACACTGAGGTAATATTGCCTGATATACAGATGTGTGAAGGTCATGAATGATTGTTGTCAAAAGAAATAGCGTGAATACATTCACGTCTTGAGATGGGTTGATACTTCAGATATGTCTTCAGCTCACTTAGAGATGTATCATTACTTCGTCTTCATGAGCATATTTCATATTTCACTGAGAAACGGTGTGGGCGGATATTTTAATAATAACACCCCTGTGTGGTATCACTGCCCATATGAACCTGTCTATGCTTCTTGGTGTGGATCTAGATTTAATTCTTTAATTAATCTCAGAGCTCATAAAGTGCATGTTATTAAATTCACATTTTAAATATGGTGAAATGTGTAACATTGTTTCAAATAGTTGTATCATTCATCATTCCTCATGTAGCTGACCGCATCCGTAGTCTAGTGGATAGAGCGTCTGCCTGGAGAGTGAAAGCACAGCGGTTCGATCCTCTGGTCGCGTCATAATAAAAGACGTAACAAGATGGTACTTGTTATTACACTGCCTGGCGTTGGCATGTGTGGATAAAACAAGCACGGATCGGCTCAGTCAGTATGCTGTGTCTGAGTGGGATGTCAATCTTAAACTATGTCATTGTCTCCCAACACTATAAAACCGGCATTAGTGCGGCCTAGTGCAAGCAGCTCATACAGGTGTGCATGCCCATCGCTATATAAGTTCAGTTATCCCCATTTCACACAAACAGCCCCTTCCCTACAAACAGCTACGTTTCATATTAGGAATGTGTTCCTTACTCTAGGTGCAGACAAGGCCGGAGAGTGCAACGTGACTAGTCACATGTTCCATGTGGACGTCACACCTCCAGTCAAAGGCAGGATCAGAACAGGGCCCTATTATGACATGGTAGGTGACACGGCCAACTTAATAAATCCAACTCTCAGTTCCTTCCATGCTTCCTCATAATGTATACCTAGAAATGATGAATCCTCCTTAATCCTCTTGGGAACAACGGAAACATGTTGAGTTGAAGCGTAGTAGGAGACAAGCGGTGTACCAAAAGATCACCATTTCGGATTCAACCGGAATCATGTCTTAAATTGTCTTGAAAATTGCATTGATATGAAGCCTTTAGGGTAAACCAATCACCACTGTATTTGAATTTTTGATGCATTGTATGTTTAGTGACACACTTAACTCGTATATAAGGATGGCTTGGTGTTTTCAAATAAAACTTTCTGGTTGGGCAAATAAAGGCTATTTTTCATGTACAGAAGGATTTTATGATAGACAGTCGACGTAAACAACATTACTTTTTTTATCTACGTGAAACCTGGTCCCATATTGACATATTTAGGACACATTTATTGTACATACACTGTATTTCTTTGCTTTTACAGTAATACTGGAATACTTTATCGTTTCAAAAGAAACTATAATACTGAATTTAGAAATATATTGATTATCTTGAACAGCAGAAGAAAGTTCATATGATCATACTTTGTTTCGTAATAAGAGTGACAAAACCCTTTCCACAGTCATAAGATATCTCTGCTAAAACCAGACCCCGTTGTATATTATTAGCATGTGCTTATAAATAACTATCAAACAGTGATGATGCCAGGTGCTCACGAAAAGTCGAGGGTGTCGTGCCTTGACAGGAAACAATCATAGAAATAACAACCTCCTCTAGAAACAGACTTGTATCGGGATGACAATGTGTGGTTCCATTCGTCAGAAACTGAGTTACTCAGCGAGCAGTGAGAGTCTTCAGACCTACTGGACAGACTTCAGTGATGAAGACTCGGGGATCCGCTGCTACCACGCAGCCCTGCTGAAGAGAGCCTCCTGTGACAAAGACTCGGCGGAAGAAACTGTCGTAGATTCCATAGAGATTGATGTCAACTACACGTCGTATAAATTCATGGACATCACTATGCAGGTGGGTGATTTACAACAATTGGATGTAGATTTTGACAGGTGTACGGATTTATTCTAGATATTAAAGTTTCATGTTTTCTTTCCAAGGGCAACACTACCTACTTTGTGAGGCTCGAGGTGGAGAACTTTGCTGGTCTCAAGTCGACATTAAACTCTCCACCAGTCCTGTATGACAACTCCCTCCCCTCCTCCGGCCTCGTCATCGACGGACATGACTTCACTCACGACATCAGCTGGAGCGGCTCTGCCAACACCGTTACAGGTAACCGATTTGTTAAGGTTTGGTATTCATACATGGGTGCAGAAATGTTGTGTGGATTCTTGATACAAATGGTGAATGGTACAAAGTTGTGATAAACAAGGTTGAAGTAATAGATAACACGTATGTTACATTCACACTAAATGACAGTGTACACTGTGGCATGTTTTCCTTAACTTATGGATAGGGTAACGAAATAATTGTTCCTTTTGGATTGTAGTTCAAGGCAGTCAGAGGAAGATTATAGGTTGTTATACATGATGTCATTCGGTTTAGTTTCCTGTATTTCGGTGGCCTGTTGTTTCTTAAAGCCCAATGAGGGCGAAGAGTAGAGTAGGTCCGATTGTTTTCTCAAAGCTTATCACATGATGTTTGAGTGTTTACATTGTGTGACCTTGCTGACAGCGCCATGTATTGTATCGGGATCAACCAATATACTGTCTTCTCCACAGCAACATAGTTGGGTTTATTGCTGACTGTGATATAAAACAAGAATCATTCATCTATGCACTATAATGTAGCGGACACATGATTGCTATAACCGTTTGCAAGTAATGAGAAATACTTGGAACCTGCACTTACTTTCTGTCTGTAGGCACATTCCTGCACCACCCTGTGCCCGACGTGTCTCCATGTCCTGTAAGACAGGTCACATTTGATGACTCGGACTGGAAGTACCTGGAGTCAGACCGGAACTACGACAGCAACAACCGCAGCTTGACCTTGACCTACAGGTCAGCCAACGTCCATCCCGAGTCCGGCAAAGTGGACATCAAACTCTCCCGAGACACCAAGACTGACACCATGTTTTCTGGAACCTACTTCAGAGATGCTGACCTTGTGAATGGCGGGGAGTATAAGGTATTATGATACAAACTGTCTCATAGATCTTGTCACCTAGTCCACCCCAGTAACGTTTTCCTATCAATGCTAAAAGGCAAGAAAGAGTTATTGTGACCTTGTCAATGGCAGGGTGCTTAATATAAAATGTCAATGCAAGAGAATTACCAGTCTTGATTATCCGCCGAAACAGATTCCATTATTATGAATAACGCCCCATGTAGTTGGGGTAAGACGACAGGCAAGCATCTAAATTACGTGTACCAAGACAGACCACTCGATCCAATTTTGTCGCCATATGGGGCATGGGCATAAATAGTTCTTGCAGCAAAGAATCGCAAATTCAGCTAAATCTGTTATAGGTTGTCATGTATGAAATAAGGAGAACCTATATATAGGCGCACAGATGGTCTGTATAATTAATACATTATGAGCAATAAAACTATGAACACTTTGTCCACTTTGACGTGCCCAAACACTCTTGTGATTTAAACTGTTTTGTACTTCATGTTACACAAACTGTTACTTTGGACTGACTCTATCATTACAGAAGTTATCCTACATGATGTCTACATAGCAAGCTATATAGCTAAGATTCTAGCTACCGAGCGACCCCGCAAAGTTGAATAATAGGTTCACTTTTTCATATTAATTTCTAGGTATTGGATTTAATCCGTATGATTCTGATGTAGGCTGCAAGATGTATCATTTGTGATTTGGTCATCACTTTACATCACTGTCGTAGCCCAACCTTATCTTTGTATCACTAAGATTACTACTGATGTTTCACCCACTGACTCCGTGTGTTTCAGCTATCTATCCGAGCTGCAGCAGGTGATGGTCAGGCGGTCACCAGTGTCCTGTTCTGGGACGGCCCAGATGACTACATCCTGGACTATGACTACACACCAACACCGGACTGGACCGAGTCTGTCTGTGCCTGTTGCAGGGTGGAACCTGTTAATGCAGTATGCAGCCTTTATTTTTATTAGAGGATTTCTAAACAGTAAGGTGAAATAGACTTCCATTGACTTTAGAATTACAGTCAGTGTATCATCACTAACGGGGCGGCAGGATCGTGCCGTAGTCAAAGCATTGGCTCATTATATCAAAGATCTTGTTTCGATTTCACACAAGGTGCGAAGCCAGTTCTGCGTTACCCCGTCTCTAATACAGCTAGCAAAATGCTTCGAAGGCAACAGAACACACTCACCCACTCACTAACTCATTGATACACACACAAACTCTCACCCCACCCCACCCACCACCCCAAGGGTAGAATAGGTTTGCACCCCGTAAACATATCTGAAACCTTTGGTCCTGGGTTCGAATCCCAGATTCTCCATGATTGTGTTTCTAGGTTTGTCGCCACCACACCTGTGCCTGTGGGCCTCACCAAGGTGTGAAATGGCAAAGACTTACGAACCTTAGACTTTCCTCCAACATCAAGTTCACAACCTGTGACACAACTAAAACATTCCTCAAGGCGAGTTAAACCAAACTTGGTCACCGATTATCTTCAAATAGCTGTTTCAATACTGTGTCTCTTCTTTCCTAGTCCTGCACGTGCAACTGTGATTCTTACCTACAAGCGGAGAGGCACTACAAGAACATCACCAAGAGATCTGTGGATGGGGATGACCCTGGCTACGAGGTGAAGAAGCTGACGGACGAGGAAAAGAAGAAACTTCAAGGAACCGGTTCTCTCACCGGCAAGACTGATATCGGGAATCCTAATCTTAACCCGAGGAAGGCCTGTGGAGTACAATTATTTGCAGGTCCGTGTATTTCTGTTTGCTTCTACAAGTTTGTGATGAGAAGTTGGGTGTTGACGGTAACCATGTGCCAGTAATATATAGGTGGTTCTCGTGACACATGACTGTCCTGTTTTCTTCTGATGATAGGACGTTACGTGAAGATTACATGTCATGCATCTATTTTCGGCCTTGGTAGTACAGATGATATTCCTCCATACTGTGTGTAGGTGCAGCAGCCAAGTTAGTGGCATGGTGTGGTTACGGAGACTACCTCAACGAACCTGAAGAAGCAGTGAAAGATCTTCAACAAGACCCCTCGAGAGATTACCATCAGTACATTGTCAAGTTCACTACACAGAGAGACGAAGCAAGGGGATCAGAGGTGGGTCACTTTCATAGAGGCTTGACATCAGGGGATGATCGCAGATGAAACGTTCACAGGTATCTCTGTTCTTACCTGTATTTAACTTACTGTTAACATTCCAACGTGTTCAATGTAACTGAGGGGCGGTGGGGTAGGCTAGTGGATAAAGCGTTGGCTCGTCACGCCGAAGACCTGGGTTCGATTCCACATGGGTACGATGTGTTAGACCCATTTCCCGGGGTCCCCCGCGGTGATATTGCTGGAATATTCAAACCATATTCACTCACTCACTCACTCAATGTGACTAATGGTGAACTCTGTCGGACAAATAGATGCAAGTTTAGAATTCATAAATAGAGACTGGATAATATGCGATTAACTTAACATGGCTTTGAACAGTATGTCAGCAATTTTGCTGCGTATAAGCTCAGAATGCTGGAAATAACCAATGAAATCGTTACTTCCGACGATATCATAAGCATGTGTTTATGAATAACTATCAAATATTGATGACACCAGGTGTTTGGGAAAACACACGAAAACTGTTATGACACTAAGAGACCATGGATTACAATTGGGACGAATCTGGGTTTCGAACCGACTGCAAGTTGATCCAGACAGGGACGCCACTCTTTCATTGACTTAAGAAAAGGTAATGCAGGAACAACTTCGGATATATCCATTTCAATGACGTCTCAGCAACGACCAGGTTGCATGGGTGGCCCAGTCGTCTAAGGCGCCGCGATTCGCTGTGCAGAGCTGCGTCCCCCTGGGCACGCCACAAACCTATGATTGTGGGTTGGAATCCCGGTTCGCCCCGATTATGTTTCTAGGTTTGTCAGCACCATACCCGTGCTCGTGGGTTTCACCAAAGTGGTAAACGTCTGAGAGCTGCATCACTTCGGGCTATCCTCCCACATTAAGCTGACTCGCCGTGATATAACTGGAATACTGTTAAAAGTGGCGTTAAACCCAACTCAGGAACTCACTCACAAACTCAACAACGACCTCAATTGATCTCATATGAAGATCTCACCCTGGTTGTGAAATTATTTAACGTCATCACACGAGCATAAGATAAGCATGATATGCGTTTAAATTAACTGTTGTAGGTTACTTGGTGCATGGCAGTCTCCATAGACGGGGATCTGCTGACGAAGCAGTGTGGAATACCGCGTCTCTCTCCTGACACCAAACTCTTCCTGGGAGTCTGGAACTACAAGAACTATATTCCTGACACTGAACGAGATTCGGAAGGACACCTAAAAGTTTGGAGTGCTACGGCTTCATTTCGTGACCTGGTGATGCCAGCTGACAAGGAGAAATTGTGTCGCTATGGCAACCCTTTCCAAGGAGGTAACAACGCCATTGTTCGGTATGAGGCAGGAATCGGGTCAGCTTCCGGTCTCTCTGATGTAGTGCCGTACCAGCAGGTGAGATGTGGCGCATGTTGACAGAGATAAATGACAGCTTCATTCAGTCTGACCGTTTGACATATTACACGGACGAATAGCAATAACAACAATAACAATGTACACTTTTACAACATCCACACAGTATGCTTTGCACGCTTGTTGAGTCCCAGTCTAGGAACCGTTTGGGGAAAAGCCTGTCTACAAAAGGAACGTTTTCACACAGAAGCTGCTACGTGTTTGAAGGATCTTTTTCCATAAGCCGTTTCTGCCTGTGTTGTCGAGATGAGCTTTTTGTCTTTGGATCGTAGCAAACGCGTTGGTACCCTAGGAGGTTATAAGTTAGGCTTGAGCTTCATTGTTATAGCATTGGTACGTTAGAGAGTAGCTTCAGACGTGGTTAAACATGCAAGTCGTTTTATAACTGGAGCGATGTACTTTCTAGTATTGGTAAGTGTTCTGGCTAACATATTCTGTATCTGCTGTAAACGTTGAGTCTGATGTAGCAGTATCTGACATTACCGAGGAGCAGATTTCATTTCTACAATTTCACTTCTACATTTTCACTGAGATAATTTCATATTCTGACAATATTACGAAGATGAGGAGAAGCTGTTTTGCAGATATACTTGCCCTGTCATATTTAGATGTTTATCATTAAAATAAGATTTCTGAACTTTCTTATGGTAACACAGACTCTCCGATAGAGGTATATGTAGCTGGATCTGATTGACTGGTTACTTAAAAAACAATTCTCCAAAAAGCATGAATTCAGTCTGATCCCAATTTAATTTCAAAGAATGTGTTGTCATCAATAAGTCTACAGCAAGCTTCCAAATTGCCGATGATGATAATTCATCAGCAGTGAATGATTTATACAGCTGATTATCATCAGTGTATTGTTGGTGCGCAGTGACATGCTGCTGTGTTTGGAAATTAATGTAAAAGAACTGGTCCGAGAAAAGATCCTTGTGGGGCACCATCATGTAAGTTGTGTTTCACAGAAGGAACATTCTTATTGATGATACTCTGGCATCTATCCGGTTATTTTCCATCCTGATAAGTAGTTTTCTGTTATTTTTATTGTCAAAGGCTGCTAACTGATCTAATAAAACGAGAGCAGATATTTTCCTTTTGTCTGTAGTTTTTAGTAAATATATTGTCACCTTCAGAAGTGCTTCTCTGTTCTATAACCCTGTTTAAAACCTGTTTTTCTCGAGAAGACAGTTTGTATCCAAATGTCTTGATGGGGTTGATCCTACCTTTTCAAGCACTTTTGACAGGAATGTAAGACTGGATACCGGCCGATAGCTTTCGGTTGATTTTTGTCGAGATTGAGGTAAAGATGTGTCTTCTCACTTGTTTAACAAGCTTGACGTCACTCTAAAAAGCTATAAGTATCCGAGCCACAATACAAGGCTTAGCCCTTTGCCTGTTTCATACACATGTGTGGATGTATTTCAACCTTGCTCTACTGTTTTTCAGAGTTTTCAATAAAAATTAGAAGAAATTAGAAATATCTGGTGAAACCTAGAATTCCAAATGAAAATGAATACCCTGTACCCAGTCATATTAGAATTCGATTTTGGTCAACAATGTCATCTTATTCTAACGTGTTCTATGTGTTGTATCCCCTGCCTGACACCCTGTGACGTTGCGTAATCTTACTCTAACGTGTTCTATGTGTTGCTAGGTGTATACACCGTGTATTCCCTGCCTGACACCCTGTGACGTTACGTCATCTTACTCTAACGCGTTCTGTGTGTTGCTAGGTACATACTCCGTGTATTCCCTGCCTGACACCCTGTGACGTTACGTCATCTTACTCTTACGTGTCTTGTGTGTTGATAGGTACATACACCGTGTATTCCCTGCCTGACACCCTGTGACGTTACGTCATCTTACTCTAACGTGTTCTGTGTGTTGCTAGGTACATACTCCGTGTATTCCCTGCCTGACTCCCTGTGACATGTACACATGTGATGCGGCTTGTGACAGCTCATCAACAGACCAGGTCAAGATAACCCTCAACGGCCTCAACCTTACAGAAACAACAGTTGTGGAGGGAGAAGAAGTCCCTCTATTGTACTACCTCACAGGTGAGAGAACAACAGTTGTGAAGGGAGAAGTAGTCCCTGTATTGTACTACCTCACAGGTGAGAGAACAACAGTTGTGGAGGGAGAAGTAGTCCCTGTGTTGTACTGCCTTACAGGTGAGAGAACAACAGTTGTAGAGGGAGAAGTAGTCCCTGTGTTGTACTACCTCACAGGTGAGAGAACAACAGTTGTAGAGGGAGAAGTAGTCCCTGTGTTGTACTACCTCACAGGTGAGAGAACAACAGTTGTAGAGGGAGAAGTAGTCCCTATATTGTACTACCTCACAGGTGAGAGAACAACAGTTGTGGAGGGAGAAGTAGTCCCTGTGTTGTACTACCTTACAGGTGAGAGAAGAACAGTTGTGGAGGGAGAAGTAGTCCCTGTGTTGTACTACCTCACAGGTGGGAGAACAACAGTTGTAGAGGGAGAAGTAGTCCCTGTATTGTAGTACCTCACAGGTGGGAGAACAACAGTTGTGAAGGGAGAAGTAGTCCCTGTATTGTACTACCTCACAGGTGAGAGAACAACAGTTGTGGAGGGAGAAGTAGTCCCTCTATTGTACTACCTCACAGGTGAGAGAACAACAGTTGTGAAGGGAGAAGTAGTCCCTGTATTGTACTACCTCACAGGTGAGAGAACAACAGTTGTAGAGGGAGGAGAAGTAGTCCCTGTATTGTACTACCTCACAGGTGAGAGAACAACAGTTGTGAAGGGAGAAGTAGTCCCTCTATTGTACTACCTCACAGGTGAGAGAACAACAGTTGTGAAGGGAGAAGTAGTCCCTGTATTGTACTACCTCACAGGTGAGAGAACAACAGTTATGGAGGGAGAAGTAGTCCCTGTGTTGTACTACCCCACAGGTGCGAGAACAACAGTTGTAGAGGGAGAAGTAGTCCCTGTATTGTACTACCTTACAGGTGAGAAAACAACAGTTGTTAAGGAGGAAGTATGCTGCTATGATTAAACACATTTTATCACTTTCCTGTGGGGATTCTGCTGTAGTATGGGATGTGTGGTTGTCCTCTTAAATTGGCCAAAGTCACCTTGATTGTCCTGAAAAAGTATGTGCCATGGTACACCAAGGGCACGACGCTATTAACAACTGTTGTCTCCGTACAGACTTGAAGTTTTATTTTTACGAACTCTCGTTATACACCTGCAAGAGTGAAGACATGGATGTGCAGAATATTCATTTGTAAGTCCTTTCTTATTTCGTTTTACAGCAGTTACTGTGGTGTTACGAAAACATAAATACGATTAAAAGATAACATGAAAAAGAATGAAGACCTCCAACAGTCTGATAACACCTGCATGACATGTTTCAGTGAAAGCTGTCCTTGGGTCTGGAACAGAGGCCGTATCGTCATCTGACGGCTTCAACATCGACACGTCACCACCGCTGTTTGACACCGACGTCATGCTCTACATCGACGTCACTCAGGGCAACTTCACCCCTGTTACGTTCCAAGGATCAAACGACACTATTAAAGCTGTGTGGAAGTGTAATGACAACGAGAGCGAAATTATGGTAACGTGAGGCCTCTGTAAAACAATATGTCAAACATAAATCCTTAGTTAAAGGTGACCGCCTCCGTGGTCTTGTGGTAGAGCGTCCGCCCGGAGAGCGGAAGGTCCAGGGTTCGATCCCGGGCCGCGTCATACAAAAAGACGTTAAAAGATTGTACTTGTTGTTACCCTGTCTGGAGCTCGGCATTAAGGGGCTAAAACAAGGACTGGTCGGCTCGGAGTCAGTATACTGTGTCTGAGTGGGGTATTCATGTTAAACTGCGGCATGGTATCTCAGTGAGCTAGCACTATAAATCGGCATCAGTCCGGACTAGTACAAGCAGCCACACACACACATACACGTGCATGCACGTCGCTATATAAGTGCAATAATCTTGGACGCGACGTTAAACCCCATTTCACCTCACCTTAGTTAAAGGTGTCAGGAGAAAAGGTGTGTATTTCCTCCACCTGTTCCGCCAGGAATCATAGTGAGTGAGTGAGTGAGTATTGTTTTACGCCGCTTTTAGCAATATTCCAGCAATATCACGGCGGGGGACACCAGAAATGGGCTTCACACAATGTACCCATGTCGGGAATCGAACCCGGGTCTTCGGCGTGACGAGCGAAAGCTTTAACCACTAGGCTACCCGACCGCCCCTGCCAGGAATCATAAGACTAGTCGGTGAGTACAGTGTCTTAATGTAGTGACCCTGTGGTTTAAAGCGCTGGTTTGCCACTACAATCACCCGAGTTCGATTCCCATCTTTGTGTGAGGCCCATTTGTCTACACTGTGATATCGCTAGAATATTTCTTTAAGGCAGCGGGAAACCACTCTCACTCTACTGATGAAAGTACGACAAGGAGACACACTCACTCCTCTACTGTTGAAAGTACGACAAGGAGGCCAAGTGAAAAGATACCCAGTGAAGGATTTTTAACATGTAACTAACTGTATATAAGCCGGGTAAATATCGAGCTACAGGAATACATGTGTGACATTACAGAACTACGAGTGGGCGATAGGCACAGCGCCAGGAGGAGAGAAGTTGCAGACATTTGTAGAAACTGGAGAGAATCCTGGATCGATGAACTCCGGACTTGTGGGCCTCCTGGAACACAACACGACATACTACGTGACCGTCAGATGTACCAACGGGGGTGGACTGGTCACAACATACGCTGATCCCAGAGGTGTGTACCTTAATACATCAAACACTACAGAGTTACTCTTGTTCCAGAAGGGCGTACCTTAATACATCAAACACTAGAGAGTTACTCTTGTTCCAGAGGGGCGTACCTTAATACATCAAACACTAGAGAGTTACTCTTGTTCCAGAGGGGCGTACCTTAATACATCAAACACTAGAGAGTTACTCTTGTTCCAGAGGGGCGTACCTTAATACATCAAACACTAGAGAGTTACTCTTGTTCTAGAGGGGCGTTCTTCATACATCAAACACTAGAGAGTTACTCTTGTTCCAGAGGGGCGTACCTTAATACATCAAACACTAGAGAGTTACTCTTGTTCCAGAGGGGCGTACCTTAATACATCAAACACTAGAGAGTTACTCTTGTTCCAGAGGGGCGTACCTTAATACATCAAACACTAGAGAGTTACTCTTGTTCCAGAGGGGCGTACCTTAATACATCAAACACTAGAGAGTTACTCTTGTTCTAGAGGGGCGTTCTTCATACATCAAACACTAGAGAGTTACTCTTGTTCCAGAGGGGCGTACCTTAATACATCAAACACTAGAGAGTTACTCTTGTTCCAGAGGGGCGTACCTTAATACATCAAACACTAGAGAGTTACTCTTGTTCCAGAGGGGCGTACCTTAATACATCAAACACTAGAGAGTTACTCTTGTTCCAGAGGGGCGTACCTTAATACATCAAACACTAGAGAGTTACTCTTGTTCCAGAGGGGCGTACCTTAATACATCAAACACTAGAGAGTTACTCTTGTTCTAGAGGGGCGTTCTTCATACATCAAACACTAGAGAGTTACTCTTGTTCCAGAGGGGCGTACCTTAATACATCAAACACTAGAGAGTTACTCTTGTTCCAGAGGGGCGTACCTTAATACATCAAACACTAGAGAGTTACTCTTGTTCCAGAGGGGCGTACCTTAATACATCAAACACTAGAGAGTTACTCTTGTTCCAGAGGTGTGTACCTTAACATATCACAAAGTAAAGTATTACTTTTTTTTCTAGCGGTGCGTACCTTAATACATCACGCAGTAGAGTGTTACACTTTTTACCCGAGGTGCGAACCTTAATACATCACATAGTAGAGAGTTACACTTTTCCCCGAGGTGCGAACCTTAATACATCACACCGTAGATTGTTACACTTTTCCCCGAGGTACGAACCTTAATACATCACATAGTAGAGTGTTACACTTTTCCCCGAGGTCCGAACCTTAATACATCACATAGTAGAGTGTTACACTTTTTACCCGAGGTGCGAACCTTAATACATCACATAGTAGAGTGTTACACTTTTCCCCGAGGTCCGAACCTTAATACATCACATAGTAGAGTGTTACACTTTTCCCCGAGGTCCGAACCTTAATACATCACATAGTAGAGTGTTATTCTTTTCCCCGAGGTCCGAACCTTAATACATCACACAGTAGAGTGTTACACTTTTCCCCGAGGTCCGAACCTTAATACATCACATAGTAGAGTGTTACACTTTTCCCCGAGGTACGAACCTTAATACATCACATAGTAGAGTGTTACACTTTTTACCCGAGGTGCGAACCTTAATACATCACATAGTAGAGTGTTACGCTTTTCCCCGAGGTGCGAACCTTAATACATCACATAGTAGAGTGTTATTCTTTTCCCCGAGGTGCGAACCTTAATACATCACACAGTAGAGTGTTACACTTTTCCCCGAGGTGCGAACCTTAATACATCACATAGAAGAGTGTTACACTTTTCCCCGAGGTGCGAACCTTAATACATCACATAGTAGAGTGTTACACTTTGTCTAGAGGTGCGTACCTTAATACATCACATAGTAGAGTGTTACACTTTTCCCCGAGGTCCGAACCTTAATACATCACACAGTAGAGTGTTACACTTTTCCCCGAGGTGCGTACCTTAATACATCACATAGTAGAGTGTTACACTTTTCCCCGAAGTGGGAACCTTAATACATCACACAGTAGAGTGTTACACTTTTCCCCGAGGTGCGAACCTTAATGCATCACACAGTAGAGTGTTACACTTTTTCCCGAGGTGCGAACCTTAATACGTCAGACAGTAGAGAAATACTCTTTTTTCTAGCGGTGCCCACCTTTATACACCAAACAGTAGAGTGTTACTCTTTTTTCTGGAGGCTTACATATATTAAATACTTGAGGTCTTTAAAACTGCTGACATTTATGAATTGGATATTCAGAAAATGGATGTGTTTAAAATTTCGTCAAAATTTATTTTTGAAGAATCTGATTCCACCCTGAATGAATTAATCAATAAAGTGAAATGTGTGACCTAGGTGTGACCGTTTTGCTTGAGCCTCCCCTTGTTGATGATGTCAACACGACAATAGTGGGTGCTGAATCCCTTGGAGAGAAAGTGGTGCCGCCAAACTCCATGAAAACCAAAGACAAAAACACCGTGGGTGCTTCCTGGACGGTGTCTGCAGATGAGAGTGTCAGGCGATATGGTAAATGATAATATCATGTATAATGAACGAGCAATATCATTAAAATCAGAAATGTTGCGCCAACAGGTGAATCCTGAGCGAACCATTTTACTGCCCAGTGTAAGAGGCAAATCAGCTCCTAGATCTGCTACATTTGGCTTCATTTCTTGACATCTCTGCCCTTGTTTCAGAAATGTTTAAGGGTTTATTGCAAATCAGCTCATTGTAATGCCAGCTTTCAAAAATGATTTGGCTTCATTTCTTTACACCTTCGCCCTCGTTTCAGAAATTTCGTTCTGAACAAAAGATAGTGAGTGAGTTGGGTTTTACGCCGCTTTTAACAGTATTCCAGTTATATCACGGCGTGTCAGCTTAATGTGGGAGGAAAGTCCGAAGTGATGCAGGTCTCAGACGTTTACCACTTCGGTGAAACCCACGAGCACGGGTATGGTGCTGACAAACCTAGAAACATAATCGGGGCGAACCGGGATGCGAACCCACAATCACAGGTTTCTGGCGTGCCCAAGGGACGCAACTCTGCACAGCGAATCGCGGCGCCTTAGACGACTTGGCCCCCCGTGCCCCCCGTACAAAAGATAACCCTGACAAAACGCAAATGATCCCCGAAAGTAATACATGGCATTGTGTACTGCCAACGCTGAATTCACCTGATGAAGGAGAAAGCATATACTCCGAAACGTTGTGTTCCTCATAATAAAGAAGATGACATCCATAACTTCTCTTCCTTATGTGTATCACTTCTAAATGCCTTTCAAAGCCTTGTTCCACAACATAGATCTTACTCTTCATTCGGAACTGCCCGTTCATGTTCATTTACGTGATACCCATTGAAGATGCGATTAGAATTGGTCTACAGCAACCCATGGTTGTCATAAGGGGCGGTTATGTTTGGCGTGAGAGGCGACTTACTGGATCGGGTGGTCAGACACGCTGACTTGGTTGATGCATGTCATCGTATCCCAATTGTGTATATCGATGCTCATGATGTCAATCACAGGATTGTCTGGTCCAGACTCAATTATTTACAGAGCGCCATCAAATAGCGGGAATATTGCTCACCGCGGCGTAAAACAACCAACCAACAAACCAGAAACCGGAATATACATAAAGGACAGACTGCCACTCACTTTGACCATGACCTGAGAGGTCATGGAGTCTCTGACCTCCCTGTCTGTTTCATGGAGACAGGTCTTGTTGCTCTGTTGCCACTGTCGGGCATCTGCATCATACAAACATCATTGACCACAGGATTGTCTGGTCCAGACTCAATTATTTACAGAGCGCCATCAAATATCGGGAATGTTGCTGAGTCCGGCGTTAACACACAAACAAATAACGTATATATACGAGATACTGCAATCAATGTGATCTGCTCGCTCCATGCTAATCATAAGGGAAATAAGTACCAATTTTTTTATAAGATCAAATTATATGAACTAGTATAGGTAACTTAATGGATGGCTATGGTTTTTTTTTGTAAATACCTTCACGTCTTATGTCAGGATCACTAGCGTTTTCGATACCAATTGATACTTTTCTTGCAACACCAGGTGTTCGCAAACTGTTCCCTGGCCATGAGGTGAAATTACTTACTTGGTGTCTAGGTGTATCCTTTTGTTGTCGGTGATGAATCGTAGTTCAAATGAGCGGAGTGTGTACCAATACAGGTAACAGTTGATGAGGAGGCTCATCTCATGAAGTGATTTAAGTGAGATCATGTTCAGCATGTGTTGTTATCCAAAATAAAAAGCAGGGAAATATTACTCTACCATATCTAATAAAGATTTGTAGGAAATGATTATGGTATTAGTATTGACTTGGATTAAAGAGAACCTGATCATTTAATACATTTGAATCCTTAATAAAATGGCTTTAATTCAAAACAAATGCTATCGATGAATATAGTGGTTTTCTTTTATCGCTTCATCGTCACCTGGTTGATAGGCCTAGGGTAGCCTAATTGTTTAAGCGTTCATTGGCCACTCCTTTCACCTTGGTTCCATATGGGTGCACTGTGCGGAGCTCATTCCTTGTGTCCATTGCTGTGATATAGTTGGAATACTGCTAAATGTGGAGCACTCACTCACTCACTCACTCGATCACTCACGCACTTACACACTCACGTAATATGCTCAATTTATACAATCATCAATTAACAGAAACCTGAAAGACAACTATGCTTCATCTTCAGATTTCTGTGTTGGGAGTTCCGAGGCCAGCATCAGTGACATCTTCCCCTGCACGTGGGTTGGCTACAACACGTCGGGGACGGTTACAGTTGCAGATGGATACCTTAAACTAAATGGCCGCAATATCTACATGCTGAGTCAGTACAAGCCAGGCTATAATGCCTCGGTACCCGGCACCACGGACAAGTCAGCCTTCACCATGGCTCCAGGCACAGAGATGTTCATCTTCATGAAGATGTGTAATGAGGCCCAGCTGTGCACGACCAAGTTGCTGGGCTCCACTGTAGTAGAGACAGACATGTCCACGATGGCGACGTCGTCTGATGGTTCTGCCGTCACTGTAGATGTTGGAGGTGGTGCGAGGAGGAAAAGGGATATTTCAGGAGTAACGGTATCGATACCAGATGGTTAGTGTACAAAATAAGGTGATAATGGTTTCTTTACGTCTTAATATTCCTGCAATAAGGAAAAGAACGACGTAGAACCATTCTCTCTGCAGCCATCACACTGAGGCAATAGATTTAACTGACTAAAGTCCAGTTTTCACCCTTGACGAACTAGGCTGGTATTATGGAGTTACAGTTTGGCTGGACTAACGAGTCTATGCATAGCCCAATCAATATCGCTCAGCCAAATCGAAATCCAGTTCGTAAACCGTTGCAGGATTTACAAAGCATGTGCACCGCCAACTCGTTGTCAAAGATCTTTTCCAAATCTTTTAATGTTTTTTATCAAGGTGCTCGCTTGATTTGATGCACTTTGCGGCGTAAGATCGTTTTGACTGGAAGCCGTCATTTTGTTTGAAGCAAATGCAAGTGAAACGAGAGGTGGAATCGGATTGGTCTACAGGAGAGGCATAGAAGGGACATAACTCGTAACAGCCACCGGTGGCGCTACGATCTATCCCAGGAATTCCAGCCTTGTTCGGCAAGGGTGGAAACTGGACTTTTGTTGTCAGTTAATTCCCTTGCCTCGGGAAGATGCTCTACAGCCGTGACTTGAATGGGTTAATAGTACGCACTTACTTTCTCATAAGAAACAATAGAAACATAATAATCCCTGGTGCTTCTTGTAACGGCTGACTTAAAATTGGGTCAAATAGTCGCATCTAGTGTTCATGCTGTCGGTAGTAGTGTGTTTCCTTATTTAAGATAACTGTGGTATAGCTGGAATATTACAGTTTGACGCTTCATTCAACATACGCTGCTGTACACTGTATGTTCGTGTGTTTCATCATCTCACATTGTTCTCATTGTCTTGTGATCCAGGTCTAGAAACCGGCCAGAGCATTGTGGTTACTCAGCTCACGAAGCTTGATCTAGAGACAGAATACAAGTCTGACGCCTCGGTTGAGTTTGTCCCCTACATCACTGACCCATCTACATCAACCACAGAAGATGCCTTCACGGACAGGATCCTCAGAAAGAGGCTCAACTATCTGGAAACAGACCTCTCCTTCTCTCTCACGAGTGTTGGTAATCTTCTCATGCCAGGACCGGTGAGCGTGACCTTCAACTATGACCCCACGGTCACCAACACAACCTTGATGCTGCTTCACTGGAATACGGGTACGTGACTTCCAAGCGGATGCTTTGTGTTGTTTAATTCAATGGGTTTTGGGGATTCAACTGAACAGGAGATGTGTCCTGCCCTATGTCTTCTGCCATACTATTACGGGGATAAAACCAAACACATTCACTCACTTATTTCCATTACCTTATACCTGTGGGGGGCACGGGTGGCCCAGTCGTCTAAGGCGCCGCGATTCGCTGTGCAGAGTTGCGTCCCTTGGGCACGCCAGAAACCTATGATTGTGGGTTCGAATCACGGTTCGCCCCGATTATGTTTCTAGGTTTGTCAGCACCACACCCATGCTCGTGGGTTTCACCGAAGTGGTAAACGTCTGAGACCTGCATCACTTCGGGCTTTCCTCCCACATTAAGCTGACACGCCGCGATATAACTGTAAGACTGTTAAAAGCGGCGTTAAACCCAACTCACTCACTCACTTATACATGTGTCGTGGGTGGACCAGTGGTCGAAGGCGAGGTGGCTCAAATACAGAGCAACGTCCCTTAATCGTACCAGGATCCGCTAATTATTATCCTTAATGGTACCACCATGTTCGTGACAACGATGTCAGTAAGTAGCGAAGTACTAGCATAAGGTCTGATTTGTCGTATGACGCGGACATACATTGCTGCCCCATTACATTACCGTAACCTTATTCACGCACCATAGGTGGCGCTGTGGTGTCAGTGGATCCAGGATCCGCTGGTTATGATGTCTTATCCAAGATTCTCCCTGGTGATGACCCTTCCCTAGTCAACATTATACCCATTCTCGATTACCTAAATAGTAATTTTCCGTTGACATCTCAACTGGTTAAACTAAAATCAATGTGAAACTCAACTCACACATTCCTTATTCATGGATTTCGAAACAGTTTATAGACATAAACATGCTATTCATAACTGGAAACCCGGAAATTTGTTAATACGGATAATTTGACTTTGGATGAAGCTATCTCAATTGAAACGGTTTCACTGTATAACTAATCATAATGCTATCAATCACCTGTTTACTTGGTCGACGTAATAGAGTAATACAGTGGCGTAAATCAACGTTCAATCTCAGTAAGTTATGTTCCACGTGAGCAGGCATAACAGGCCCTACCGTGAAAATATTAATCAATGTAGAAGCTTTACATATCAGCAATCCAGCAATAAATAAAACCGAAAGGCAACGTGAGAAGAAAGTTTCTGGTCAATGATGTTTTTTATGATGCAGATGCCCGACAGTGGCAACAGAGCAACAAGACCTGTCACTATGAAACAGACACGGAGGTCAGAGACCCCGTGACCTCTCAGGTCACGGTCAAAGTGAGTAGCAGTCTGCCCTTTATGTTTATTCCGGTTTTCGTGTTTGTTTGTTGGTTGGTTGGTTGTTTTACGCCGCACTCAGCAATATTCCAGTTATATGACGGCTGTATGTAAATAATCGAGTCTGGACAATCCAGTGATTGACATCATGAGCATCGATCCAAGCAATTGGGACACGATGACATGCATCAACCAAGTCAGCGAGTCTGACCACCCGATCCCGTTACTCACCTCTTACGACAAGCATAGTCGCCTTTTACGGCAAGTATAGGTTGCTGAAGACCTTTTCTACCCCGGATCTCCGCGGGTCTCTGTTTTGTTAAGACCCGTCTTGGCAACATTAGTATTGCTGGAATAATGTTAAAAGTGGAGAATATCGACGGTCACAATTTTAAACATACTAATCTAAGGAAAAAAGAGAATGGATACAAAAGGACGGTTGTTCCGTCCATCTCTGAAGGCAATCGGGAAGCTCAGAAAGCCCAAGGTCGGTACCTCACTGGATATATAAAATACACTCAGCTTAACGTTCTTTGTATTTAATGTTCCAGGCTCTTGTACAGTGTAAATGGCGAAACAAACAAAACAGCCAATAACTAAAATGTCTCCATTCAATACTGACAATGCACGTGAAACGGAATGTCGAGACGTGATAGTCTATGTTTACATTGATTACCGGAGACATGACAGTAATACACCAAAGTACAATGAAGTCCGATTTGACAAGAACATATGTTTGACGGTAGTTCAGTTAATAGATCACTCACACAATGATTACCTGGGGGTAGCGAGGTTTATCGCTAATCGAACTACACGGTCTGCTTGTAGACCATTTTGCACGTGAACACCAGAAACCTAACTCCGCACAGAAGAGTGCACATGCATACCGCTATACAAAGTGTGAGTGAAGGCCAATAAAAATAAAAAGAATAACGCCTGTGTTTGACTAAACCTTGTTTTCTAAGCTAGCCGGAGGTTTGAGTATCATAAATGGACACATCAACCTATATGTTTATATGTAGATGTTTTATTGAGATCCAATCATCTTCCGCTATATTATGCAGTATTTTTAACATAAGTATGTATTGACACGCCGTTGTGTAGGTTTATCATTTCCGACACATATGACAGTTCTGTCTTCAACATGTAATGGACATGCTAAAAACCCTTCTTTGTTCACAGTTGTATAATCTTTGCATATTAGTTATTATATATGATGATTGTGTCTATCGTGTTCTGTTTAGATTTGTAACACAAGGTCGACACCAGACAGCAGCAGTTCCAGACGTCGGCGATCTGTGTCTGACACGTACTTCACACACCAGACCCAGTTCCTACTGACTTCAGCTCTGACAGAGATACCTAATTCACCTCCTCAGCTCACCAGCATCACGTCTCTTGTCATGCAGGAAGACCAGGGTATGTGTCTCTTAGCTTGTCTCTCCTGTCATACAGGAAGACCAGGCTATGTGTCTCTTAGCTTGTCTCTGTTATCATGCCGGAAGACCAGGGTATGTGTCTCTTAGCTTGTCTCTCCTGTCATGCAGGAAGACCAGGGTATGTGTCTCTTAGCTCATCTCTCCTGTCATGCAGGAAGACCAGGGTATGTGTCTCTTAGCTTGTCTCTGTTATCATGCCGGAAGACCAGGGTATGTGTCTCTTAGCTTGTCTCTCCTGTCATGCAGGAAGACCAGGGTATGTGTCTCTTAGCTCATCTCTCTTGTCATGCAGGAAGACCAGGGTATGTGTCTCTTAGCTTGTCTCTCCTGTCATACAGGAAGACCAGGCTATGTGTCTCTTAGCTTGTCTCTCTTGTCATGCAGGAAGACCAGGGTATGTGTCTCTTAGCTTGTCTCTCTTGTCATGCAGGAAGACCAGGGTATGTGTCTCTTAGCTTGTCTCTCTTGTCATGCAGGAAGACCAGGGTATGTGTCTGTTAGCTTGTCTCTCCTGTCATACAGGAAAACCAGGGTATGTGTCTCTTAGCTTGTCTCTCCTGTCATACAGGAAGACCAGGGTATATGTCTCTTAGCTTGTCTCTCCTGTCATGCAGGAAGACAGGGGTATGCCTCTTTGCTTGTCTCTCCTGCCATGCAGGAAGACCAGGGTACGTGACTCCTAGCTTTTCTCACTTGTCATGAAAAGACATCAGGGCATGTGTCTCTCGGCTCGTCTTTCTTGTCATGCAGGAAGACCAGGGTATGTGTCTATTAGCTTGTCTCTCCTGTCATGCAGGAAAACCAGGATATGTGTCTCTTAGCTTGTTTCTCCAGTCATGCAGGGAGACCAGTGTATGTGTCTCAAAGCTTGTCTCTCCTGTCATGCAGGAAGACCAGGATATGTGTCTCTTAGCTTGTCTCTCCTGTCATGCAGGAAGACCAGGGCATGTGTCTCTTAGCTTGTCTTTCTTGTCATACAGGAAGACCAGGATATGTGTCTCTTAGCTTGTCTCTCCTGTCATACAGGAAGACCAGGCTATGTGTCTCTTAGCTTGTCTCTCCTGTCATACAGGAAGACCAGGGTATGTGTCTCTTAGCTTGTCTCTCCTGTCATACAGGAAGACCAGGATATGTGTCTCTTAGCTTGTCTCTCCTGTCATGCAGGAAGACCAGGGCATGTGTCTCTTAGCTTGTCTTGCTTGTCATACAGAAATACCAGGGTATGTGTCTCTTAGCTTGTCTCTCCTGTCATGCAGGAAGACCAGGGCATGTGTCTCTTAGCTTGTCTCTCTTGTCATGCAGGAAGACCAGGCTATGTGTCTCTTAGCTTGTCTCTCTTGTCATGCAGGAAGACCAGGGTATGTGTCTCTTAGCTTGTCTCTCCTGTCATACAGGAAGACCAGGGAATGTGTATCTCAGCTTGTCTCTCCTGTCATACAGGAAGACCAGGGTATGTGTCTCTTAGCTTGTCTCTCTTGTCATGCAGGAAGACCAGGGTATATGTCTCTTAGCTTGTCTCTCCTGCCATGCAGGAAGACCAGGGTATGTGTCTCTTAGCTTGTCTCTCCTGTCATACAGGAAGACCAGGGTATGTGTCTCTTAGCTTGTCTCTCCTGCCATGCAGGAAGACCAGGGTATATGTCTCTTAGCTTGTCTCTCCTGTCATACAGGAAAACCAGGGTATGAGTCGCATCCAACTGTGAATAGAGACGTGTACTTAACTGTGAAACCTAGGTGGTCTTAAATTCAGATTACATATTGGCCCAATCCTTCGTTTGTTAGTATTCTACCTGTGCTCGTTGGTTCCACCAAACTGGAACTGGTGAGTTTGGGGTCTTAGGCTTCATATACAGAATGTCTCCCCCGTGGATTCACAGAATCCTTGATAGGATTACAGCATCTGTGAGCTCGCATGTGTCACCAAAGCGGTGAACGTGTAAGACATGATTCACTTATGACTCTCTTCCTCCATCATTCAGCCATGCCTTTCTAGTGGAATATTGAAGATGGGTTAAAGACAACCCACTAAATAGAGTACAGACAGTGTCCAACTTACATCACTCGTTAATGTTCCAGGTACATTGATATACCAGATGACGTCCACAGATGCCAATGGAGACGTGGTCAAGTACAAGATTAGTGACAACTTCGCTGTGGCTGATTTAGAACTGACGCTGTCAGAGGATGGATTGTGAGTGGCTACTTCAGACAGCTGTACAGTTGTATATATGTTTGTGTGTAGTATGTGAAAAGTCATGTTCAGAGGAGTTGGGCTGGCTCTGTGAGTCGCTACATAATAACTCTTTACAGTTCTGCAATATGTTCTTGTTTAATATGAGGGAAGTTGTGTTAAGAGGACTTTGGCTGGCTCTGTTATATGTTTGGAAACCAAACTTTTATGCTCCATATGTAGATATGCGTCAATCAGTATTTGGCATTTTCCAACGAAATGAAAAGAAACATTGACAACTTTCTGTAGGCTATGCATGTAACAAAAACCGCATGGACATGAATGTGGTTCATATATGTGTGCATCTGTTCAACAGCTGGGCTTCTTGTTAAGAGATGACATGCTTACCATTTTCGCAAAACACCTGGTGTCATCTCTGATTTTCAGTGATCCATTCATGTAATTGTCACCGCTATTCTGCTTTCTACCCTCAGTGGAATCGTCGGATAATCGAGATGATATATTTCAGGATGACCTATACACCTGCGACCAACTACTACGGATCAGTAGAGGTCCCGGTAATTCTTTATGAGGTGCCTCAGGCTGAGATACCACCGGCTGAAACGGCAGTAAACATCAGCCTCATCATTACCTCCGTCAACGATGCCCCCAGCGCCTTCATCTTCAGTGATGGAGTCAGCTTCCTTCAAGCAGATCCGGCCCATCCAGTCCTGGTAGGCGACGTAGCAACGTGTTGCTCTCTCTACGTCTACACAGAGCCTTTGCTCTTGCCCGTGATGATAAAGTGCTTATTTCACATTAGATACCGTTACGTTCGCTTGTCACACCTTAGGCCAGGGTTCGATTTCCCCACATAGGTACACTATGTGAGCCCATTTCTGGTATATCTCCTGCCATGATATTGCTGAAACATTGATACAAGTGGCGTAAAACCGTCCTCACTCGCGTTATGTAGAGCTGTCGCAAGCCCTTTTAATCAAGGGGGGAACAGATGAGCCATATTTTGTGTCAAGATACCTAGGCATAAACTCCTTACCCTGTCAAGTACAGTGAACTACGGTTATAACGAACTCAAAGGGACTACTATTTTTAGTTCGTTATAAGCGTAGTTCCTTATAAGCATATATACAGCATAACTACAGCAAATAGTCGGGACTAAAAAGTTAGTTCGTTATATTCGTCAGTTCGTTATAAGCGTGTTCGTTATAACCGTAGTTTACTGTAGATGTTTAAGGCATATTCACACAATCCATTTCTCCTCGGGCAGGTTGATGTAAATAGAACTCCACAAAACCATGTCCGAAATCCTAAGGAATCTATACTAAAAGCAGATTCTATTGTACGATTCTGACTATGTGTTCATGAATCACAATGAAATTGTGACCATACTGTCACTTGTTCACCTGAAATAGGGAAATGCATCAGACATCATTTTATCATATAATGGGTAGGTTTCTCGGCAGGATAAAGCCAACGGATAAAAACGATATCCGTTGGGGTCATATGCGGATAGAGATGCAAATATCAAAGGTCAAGTAGGGACTACTTTCACTGTTTATAAACAAACATGGCGTCGCCCTCGTCATTTGGCGATCGAGTCAGAATTAACCATCGGGAATCTGGAGAAACTACAGAGATAATTGCTTTCATTATCAAAAGAACAGTCTAATATACTGAAAATCAGTGTCTAACTGTGACGTAGCTAAGGCATTTAATAAGTTTTGGCAACTTTGAAGATATAAATTTCGACACAATTTTGCGAAGCCACGAGGCCTAGCCAAGTGGGATCAGTAGCCATATCTGTGCTTGTAGTCCTCTGCGGCTTGAACCTCTCCACAAATTAAAATAGTTGGATTTGGCCGAAATATGTTTAAATTGTTACCTTGTTTCCTTTTGTCGCTGTGTGTACATCTGACTACACTTCTTAACGTTATGACAGGACAGACCGACTGTCAACAACGTCTGACCGTGGCTGTGACGTCTCATAGACTAGGATTAGAGTAGCTTCCCTTTGACAAATGGCAGTTACTCCAGCAGACAGACCGATGGATTGCCGCGAAAGGCAATTAAAAACACCCATTGCGTATATGTTGCTTCGCCACTGTATAAGAAAGAGATTTCAGTTGGAACTATATTGGCCACTGTCACTGTCCGACTGACACATCACTTACCCTCAGACGTAATAAATATTAATGCGCGCATTCCAGGAAAACTTGCAATGTTTCGGCATTGTTTGTGAAAGAGGGAAAGCGATTTTGAAACACAGAATTAAAGAATGACATTATATGATAAAGAGGTTATCACGCTTGTGTGTTTGGGGATGGTAAATATCCTGCATTAGGAATAAACACTATGTATTTAGCTCGCCAAGGCTCGCTAAATACAATGTTTATTCCTAATGCGGGATATTTACCATCCCCAAACACACAAGCGTGATAACCTCTATTTATCTTCTTATGTCTTCCGGGGCGGTCGGGTAGCCTCGTGGTTAAAGCGTTAGCTCGTCACGCCGAAGACTCGGGTTCGAATCCCGACATGGGTACAATGTGTGAAGCCCATTTCTGGTGTCCCCCGCCGTGATATTGCTGGAATATTGCTAAAAGCGGCGTAAAACCAAACTCACTCACTCACTCACTCTTATGTCTTCCATAAAACATTTTGAAAGCACATAACTTGGAAGAGTTGTATGACGCTCTTTGAATTAAGCGTTTTTAAGGAACTGTATGCTCCACAGTCTGGTGCCCACATTCAGTGTAGCTCTTAACACGGCCTCTATGTAATTAGCTATTTGGTCCGTAAAACTCGGGTTAAAAGGGCTTGGGCCTTGTGAATGACTTCCTGGAACTGTCATATATGATCAGAGCCTTAAATCCACCTTTAGGTCAGGACAGAGTTGGATCATTGGATATCTAAAACGTATTCAAACGTTAGGAAACCAGTATTATGGTTCATATATAAAAGTGTAGTTAGCAATGATCGGACTTCAGCAAGGATGTGAGGCGTGAACGTAGAAAGGCTGTTCAATGGACAGAGTAATTTGCATTTCCAGATTCTGCTGGAGGAGGTACGAGTAAATGACAGCAGCCCTACAACATACAGATGGGAGTTTGGAGCGTACGACGTTGACGTCGGCGACAACATGACCATCTACTACACTCAGCCATCTAGCGGAAACCTCACCATCGGCGACCTGAACACCGCGGTCCCCTGCTCATACAACGCGGTCAGTGCAGAGTCACATTGTCTTCGGGAATTTTCGATATGCCACTGCTAATTACTGGATTAAGATATAATACACATATACATATCAAACTGATCTATAATTGTGATTACACTACATTTCTAGTAGAAAGGTTTATGTTATATAATATTTTTACCTAATCCTGACCGAAAAAATTGCTTATCTCTCCCTTTTCTGCAACTTCCTGAACTGTGGCCCCGGGGAACAGAAAAAAACAACAGCTCAACCATTTGAGCCGCGCATGCGCATGAGAACCACTTGACCAAGTCGGTAACTCGCCACTCTCTCATTTTCACACCTAACCTTTTTCAGATGAAGAAAGGGAGTCTAACTTCAGAGAAGTTCTTTTCAGTCTATCCTAGGTAGCAGAAATGTTGATTCCCTTTTAAAGGGCTCCTCGAAGTCGAAGAAGAAGAACTTGCAGTCTCTGGCGGAGAAGAAGAGTTCATCCTCTTCCTCATCGTCTCCAACTAAGAATGGGAACTATGCGAAGGTGATCACCACTACAGAGCAGAATGTTTTTTCACCGTAAAGGGGTTCACAGAGGGTCTCCACGAAGTCTTCTTCAAAAACTCAGAAGAAAGATAGCTGTGCGCAGCCATCCACCTCCAACATCACCCACCACCTCTACGCAGCTCCAGACTGCGGTTCCGCCACTATCCAAGCAGTCACAACCACTCATGTTAAACAGCTCCTTCATGACGTTGCAGACCTTCACTCTGCCTCACGGGTTCACGCACTCCACAACGTTCGCACAGCCTCAGCCTACATGCAGCCTACAATGTTCACCGTTACCCAGCAAGTTTTACTTGCCATGCAGCATCACCTGAGGATGACTTAGGACTCTACACACCCTACATTTATCAACGTCATTCTCTGAGGAGACTTCACAGATCTCACGGATCTCACACCGTTTGTCTACAGCTCCGAACACTAACGCCTTCACGTATCCACAGACCTTTATGCAGGTTCCGGCCTTCACATATCCACAGACCTTTATGCAGGTTCCGGCCTTCACGTATTCACAGACCTTTATGCAGGTTCCGGCCTTCACGAAGCCACAGACGTTCACACAGCTTCGGGCCTTCGTGCAGCACCCAACCTACAGGCAGCCCCCAGCATTCATGCAACTTCAAGGGTTCACGCACTCTTAAACGTTCAGACACTCTGCATTCTGACAACATTTATACTCGATATACAGCATATAAGACGATGAATAAAAGACTTCACGCAGCCTACTTCAACTTCTGAAGAAAATTCTCTGGCCATGGCTCCGAACCCTAACGCCTCCTGTCTATTTCAAGATGAGGATGTTTTCAAGCTTGTATTTGAAGATCATCCCATCAGGGGGAATATCCCTCCACGTAGGAAGACCATTCCACATATCAACCGGTTTCACAAGCAGAAAGAATCCAGATGCTTTCATAATCTAAGAAAAGCAAATCGCTCACTTCACCGTCAGACCATGGCTAAAATCTTCAAGCAGCAGCGAAGAAGAGTGCTGTACCTGCGTCAAACATTGACATGGTTGCTACCAAGTAATCTCTCATATCATCGGTCCTTTACTAAAGCCTTGGTACAGATCATGTCTACAGTGAATTTTTATGAGAGTACTACGCCCTCACCGTGGAACATCTTCCCCAGGCAAGGGAGTTAACTGACTATAAAAGTCCAGTTTCCAACCTTGCCGAACTAGGCTGGTATTATGGAGTTAGATTTTGGCTGGACTAACGAGGTGGTGCGAGGAGGAAGAGGGATATTTCAGGAGTAACGGTATCGATACCAGATGGTTAGTGTACAAAATAAGGTGATAATGATCTCTTTCCGTCTTAATATACCTGCAATAGGGAAAAGAACGATGTAGAACCATTCTCTCTGCAGCCATCTTACTGAAGTCCAGTTTTCACCCTTGACGAACTAGGCTGGTATCATGGAGTTACGGTTACGTCACAAATTCTCCAGGGAACTGACTGCATATACACCGTTATGCTTCAGAATTTGGGACACCACTTCGTCTATCTACCACACAGTTGACACTAGATTGTCCGTGTAAGGAGCTTGGACCTCGTCCCGGCAAGAATTCAGTATTCCTGTTTCCTGCGCGGGATGATTTACATGTCAAGAAGTCACTGACTACAAACAACTCGACTATGCTGGTCATTGCTTTTTACAGATTGGTTTGCATATTACTTGTACGTAATGCTGCAATCGCACGATCTGACGACTGAAGCTTTACGTCAATGTGACCGAGTCTCTAACTACTGTAGACCTCACATGACGGCATGCAGAATAATTCACAGGGAGGCACCACCCTTCATCGTCTCCTCCATACAAGAATGGGAGCCCTTATACCACACCACAATGGAATCAGTTGTCACTTTACCAGAACTGCGGGATAGCGACGATCAACCGGGAAGGTCAAATCATCCCACATTTTTCATGCTTGGGATTTGATTTGGCATATGCTCCCAATGATCTCGACGTCCCGTCTGGTAACACTGCAGTACGTCCGCACGGTCGCGATCATCATGGTTTGTAAAATTATTCAGACCGAAGAATTATATATTCAGCCTCGGTCTACCAGATGCAGCTTCAGCTTCATCATACTTTCAACCACCGCTACGCCAATGTCTCGATAATCGGCTGGGGAGCCAACTAAATTCATCTACTTTGGACTGGGCGCTGGGGTCTCCATGTCAACAACTCGATGGATATTGTTATGGGCAAGAGTTCTAGGATATCGCGAGTAACATTGTCCTGTTTTCGTTCATTGTTTATCTTCAGTTTATAGGCACTATTCCAAGTTAATTTGTGATTAACATTTGTGTTTACGTGAGTAACAATTTAATAGACGCAGGGGTTATGTTTATTTGCCGTAAATTACCTTAAGTTGGTATTTCGCTGACGGACTGCACAGAGCGACATGCCAGGCTACCGGGCCGCGCCATTTTGGAATCATGACGTCATCGATATTTGTGTTCCCTCGGTTACCTTACAATTATTGCATAAAGTGTCGTATTTTAATTTCCTTTACTTCATTCAGTTTCTTAATTGATTATATTAGTCGTATGCTTTGTGTTATAAAATAATATCTAAGTTAATATTAGTTCAGTGACCAGCTGTGACGTCACGTTTTGTTTACCGTGAGAGCCGATCAGCTGGTTGTGACGTAATTTGCTGTTTTTTACGGTTAGATGAGTGAGTGAGAGAGGAGGACTGAACGGAGTCGAATTGTAAGTATGTATTAACACGCTGCCACCAATTCTTATTTGGCGCTGTTGGAGATTATACATTGTGTATGTATTGAGTAGAATAGTATAAATTATATATATAAATATTTCTGAATATTGTTTGAGTGGTAAGTATCCTAGAACTCTTGCACATAACAGATATATTTGCAACCAGATTCAACAGACAGATAGCAGGCGCTCTCACCAACAGCACTGATACAACTGTTCCTACTACTACCTTTGGTCGCACCTTATTAGCCAGGAAGAACCTTGATTTCAAGAGCTCGTCGCATTGGCAGGGAAACCATCCTTAAAGCTGGCCAAACCTTCTACTTCACCCTCACGCCATCAAAGATGTCTACGAACCTCACGTTTGGAACATATCACGTTCAACCCAACTAAACCAGAACAGCCAAGACAGTATGTATCCTATGGTTTTGTAGATCTACTAGAAGTCTATCTGAAGATAAATTGAAGATTTGTGACCAGTTTGCGAGATCCAAGGGGTTCACAACTGTTAAAGCCACTTCACCACAAGTTGAAGAATTCCTGTGTCACCTTAGATGAACAAGGAATCTGAAGGGTTCAACTTTAAGCATCTACGTAGCAGCTAGCAGCTCCATTTTAACTATGGGTGACGGAACCAAGCTTCCTGAGTGGATAGACTTATTGTGATCATGCAGGCTTGAAGATCAACAAAAGATATTCAGAGCCCCAACCTGGGATTTGATTTATTTTGTTGAGATGGTTAAGCACCACATTCAATTCCCAGGGACCCATGAAGATCCGGGGTAGAATAGGTCTTCAGCAACCCATGCTTGCCGTAAAAGGCGACTATGCTTGTCGAAAGAGACGACTAAAGGGATCGGGTGGTCAGGCTCGCTGACTTGGTTTATCGTGATGCATGTTATCGTATCCCGATTGCGTGGATCGATGCTCATGGTGTTAATCACTGGGTTGTCTGGTCCAGACTCGATTAGTTTTCAGACCGCCGTCATGTACCTGGAATATTGCTGAGTGCGGCATTAAACAACACACATTATGATAAAACATCAGACGAATGGCAACATATTATGTTGTTATAGTCAATAACATGACAATCACACCACTTTCTATTAAACACAGTTATTTTTTTCCGTCAGTATATATTGTTATAGTAATGAAACCAGCGTAATAATCAACTAGTATATTGAACTGATTTCAGAGCGGCATCCCCTGTGACCAGCTCCTCCTCCCCCACCCTCCAGACTCCCTCAACTGGGTTTACAGGACCTTCCAGTACCAACCTGACACTGGTTACCATGGTTACGATGAGGTTCGTGTGTACGCCCAGGACCAAGCAGGGGTATACTCGGATGTCATCACAATCAAACCAACTGTTATGGAGAGGCCATGCGAGAATGGAGGAACATGCAAAAGTAAGTTATAGCGTTTGTTTGTTTGCTCCGTATCCTGCAGTTAAACCGTCGCCCCATCGCACCAGGACCCATGTCAATCGAGAATGGGGGCAGCTGTAAAAGTAAGTTATGATATGCTAATCGGGGTAGCAGTTAGCCTTGTGGGTAAAGCCCTGACTCGTCCCTATTCCAATCGTCACATTATGCAACGTGTGACGTTTTCTCTTGGTGTCCCCCGGCATCTGTGACATGGATATTGATCAAATCGTCCAGTGAGACTACATACATACTCAACCTTTATACAAGACCACACAAATACAAGAGCCTCGAAAGGAAAGATATATTCACTATCAACCCGACCCAGAAAATTGTTGCTACAACTTCATTTAGGTCATGGTCCATACTTCACGTGTTTTTTACTCTACGCTCCTCCATCACCGGGGGTCACGGGTGGCCCAGTCGTCTAAGGCGCCGCGATTCGCTGTGCAGAGTTGCGTCCCTTGGGCACGTCAGAAACCTATGATTGTGGGTTCGAATCCCGGCTCGCTCCGATAATGTTTCTAGGTTTGTCAGCACCATACCCGTGCTGGTGGGTTTCACCGAAGTGGTAAACGACTGAGACCTGCATCACTTCGGGTTTTCCTACCACATTAAGCTGACACGCCATGATGTAACTGGAATACTGTTAAAAGCGGTGTTAAACCGATCTCACTCACTCACTCACTCCTCCATCACCGGCTGTGTACTACTGCTCCTGGAAGTCAAATGAGCCCTGCTCCGAACCTGCATGTACTGTGTGCGAACCTTACCGTTGCTTCATATTACAGCAATGGGTAGACTAGATGCCGCCAAGGCTGTAGCACATGTTGCACGAGAAATAGTGCTGATTGGTCGATGTAATCTGTGCGCTCATTGGTCAGAGCACTCGCTGGTTTCCTCGTCATTGGGATCAGGCCTTGGCTCGTTTCTTGGTTACAAATGGCGACTACATTGGATAGCATAGATGATGGAAGAACATAGTGTGTTTAGCATTACCACCTGTTCCAAATTAATCGTTTCTAATGGAACTTTAATGTTGGATTAAAAAACCATAAATCCTTAAATTTTAAGACATACCCCATTGATGTCGTGATCGGGGTGGATGCCGATCGAGTTCCTGTTTACTTGTTTAAACATATTTTATTCAGATTGAAATGGATTGGGAACAAGTTATCCAACTTAGGACTCCCTCTCCATGGTATTTACAAAGCTTGTACAGTAAATCATATACAAGGAAAACAGAAAAGAAGATGAGTGTATAGCTAACAAAAGAAATGTACAAAACAGATACTAGTATATTTACATTAAAGTGTTACCCAAATCTCTTTGTATGACTAATAAACATTTGCACCGCCTTAAAGATATGTTGATTTTCGATAATGGACAAACATTCATTTCCGTTTAACATCAAACTTAAATCTAATTTAATTTTTGTTCACGGCGTTCTGTAAAATGTCCCGAATTATTATTAACATAGATTTTCTTTGGTGGACATACAATGGACACTCTAATAAATAATGAAATGCGTTTCACATGGATTACCACATTGACGTATTGGATCACATTTTATCTCTTATCTGTATAAATCATAATTTAACTGGCTTTTCATGTATCTTAATCGAGTATGATAAATATTCAGCTTTCTGACACCATAGGAAAAAAATATGGAGGTGCAGTAACTTGCTCTTTTTGTATGTATGTCTTGAATTGGGATGAAGATGTACAATTTCTATCTGCTGCTGGAATAGTGTTCCATAACCTTACAGCTGATGGAATAAAAGAACACGTTGAGTGTTTTAATCTAGTATATGGAATCTCAATATTATCTGAATTTCTTAAATTATATGATATATTTGAACCTACAGTGGTTGGTACAATGTCTTTAAGATAAGTTGGGGCAATATTACTTTGTATTTTGTAGAACAAACATAGTTTACGTTTCCTCCTTCGTTCTATTAACGTTTCCCATCCTGTTTCATAATACAGATGTTTGTGCGAAGTATACTTTGGGAGCCCCGTAACTATTCTGGCAGCTTCTAGTTGGAGATTTTCTAACTAAGTTCATAATTCTACATTACGCCCATCCCACACTTCACACGCATATTCGAAATGGGGTCTTATGAAAATTATATATGCATGCAACCACGCTTCTGTATGAATTCGTACCAGGGAATTCCAAGGGTTTTCCCCAGGAATGTGGAAGCAGTCAGTGTTTACGCCATTTCAAGAATGCAGTCACGTGAAGAACGCCATGTGACCGACCTCTCGTCCTCTCGTAAATTTCACATTAAAAAATTAGTTATTATCATAACCGAATAAAACACAATCCGATATAAAATAAACACAATAAACTTGGTAACATTGTTTGGTTTGATTCTTGGCGCGTGTCTGAATTTCATTAACATGTTACATATCCAAAACTGGCTTATCAGCAATTCTCGCTGCACTGCGCGCGACAGATACTAGAGCAAGGCATGCCAGAAATACGAAACCTAAAGCTTCCGAAAGGAAGCCTTAGGAATCACGTGCGTCGGGGTACCAGCGCCATCTGATTGGCCGTTAACAGTTGTACAAGGCGGAGCACAAAGCATCGTTTTTCCGTCCATTTTACGCTTGAAAAACTCGACTCTTTTCTGGACACTTTCTAGACGCTAACCAATTAATCAATTTTAATGAATTTTTAGTCGTTTTTCCGTCCAATGACCATATACGGAAAAAAACGACGTTTTCGTGTTTGCAGTGTAATGTATTTCTGTTCAATAGGAATTTTAATTTTCTCATTGAATTTATCAATTTTGATGTTGATTTAATTATGTTATCTACGTGGGAGACCATTCTACGTTTGATGCAAACGTTATACCCAAATGTTTATGACTTTGAACATTCTTAATTTTACATTCATCAAAGTACAAGGTAATAAGGTCTGATTCATCTTTTTAGGAAAATATAACCGCTTCTGTTTTATCTTGGTTGTATTTAATTAACGAGCTGCAGCGTTTTTCCCAGTTACACAGCTTGCTTAGTTTTAAATTTAGAGTTGATTCAACTAGTTGATTATCTGGTGAAGAAAAGTCAAGTGCTGTATCGTCAGCAAAGAGTATTGTTATGCAAACTAATTCATCAGCAATGTTGTTAACAAATACAATGAATAAAAAGGGACCCAACACCGACCCCTGTGAAACGCCAGCCTTCAAAATACTTGACTTGGATAGAGCCCCGCTTACAAACACTGACTGAGTACGATTGCTTATGTAACTATGAATAACTATCTCAATAAAAAAAAACACGGATCGGATCGTGTACATCCCGCAATCGTGCAGGTTGAAAGAAACGTTGTTAAAAGGGATTCGAAATCTTCTCCCCGTTCACGGATTTGAAATCAAACAAACTAGGATTCATTTTTTTCTCGGTTTGATTAACAACTGACAAATATATTTCACAGCTGATTGGACACAGAGAAAGAAAGCAACACATTAACAATAACCTTAACATTTCTAAAATTGATAAGACATCCAGTTAAAAATATATCTGGATATCAATAAATCGAGCAGCCTCGCTGTGAGAATAACAGAATGATCAGCTTCGTATCATACAATCTCCACCAAGTGCCGGGGCGGTCGGGTAGCCTAGTGGTTAAAGCGTTCGCTCGTCACGCCGAAGCCCCGGGTTCGATTCCCCGCATGGGTACAATGTGTGAAGCCCATTTCTAATGTCCCCCGCCGTGATATTGCTGGAATAATGCTAAAAGCCATACAATATATATACCATACTCAATCCACCAAGTGCCCGTTTGCCACACACCTAATTCCTTTTACACCTCTACATACATAATTCCAGGCAAAGATGAAAGTGTGTACAACTGCAACAACTACCGCCGTGCTGAAGGTTTTGACCTCTACTACGAGTGTGCGTGCGCACCTGGCTGGACCGGCTTTCATTGCGAGGATGACATCAACGAGTGCAGCAGCTCTCCATGTTCCTGGCCGTACGTCTGCTACAATGACGTCAACAGATACTACTGCGCATGTGCAAAAGATAATCCCAACTGTGATGGGTTGCAGGCATGGATGATCGGGCTGATTGTGTTGGCGGTGATATTGATAATCATCTTGTCCTTCCTAGCTTGGTATCTCTGCATGCTCAAACGAGGGTAGGTACTGCGCACGTTTGCATGGGTACGTCAATCAAAAAACCTTTTGAGTATGAAACGAGGGAGACACCAATAAAACATAATGTTCGTCTGCAATTCCATTCAAAATGCCGAAAATACAAAATTTCGTATTAAGAGGACCTACATCTCAAGACGATATAAGTTCTCCACGCTTCAGTTTTTTAGCTGAAGGTGAAAAATATATTAATAGCAAATACTTATTTGTTAATAACTACTTGCCTTAACTTTATTAAGTACATCTCATTTCTGCTCTAACTTTAACTTGACAACTGGTCTTCTGTATATTTCGAATGAATCCATTTCAGGAGAATCCTCCCTTGTATATTTTCTCAAAGAATAGATAAATTCAAAATTTTAGAGCTTTATATTTATCTATTGTGATTCCGGCAACTCTTGTATAAGGAAGAATCTGCATGCAGTCAACCTAGGTAATTTAGCATGATTCAATAACTGGTGTGAGCTGGCATGTGCAAGAACATTAATTGTGACACGGTAATTCAATGTGGGTTATTGTATGTGCTTGTGTGTTAAGGTTGATCACTGGTGGTTATGGCTTACGTTTACTGCGTGTTTAATCTTATTACGCCACTGGACTTTGTGGTTACCTTTTTCATAAATATATTTATATTACTTTTTATATTCTTCGTTTCTTTATCAAAATACCATCTGTTAACACGACCAAATCATTATCCTTTTCACTTTCATTGGAAGAAACAAAAGTCTATGTCGCTTGGAAGGACATTGAAGAACGTTCACTCCAAAATGACCACTTATCCAAAATTTCAAGCAGTCGAATGAGTTCATTCTCCGAATAATTCCTGATGCAGATTGCATTGGCTAGCACTGGATCAATAGGTGTAGTTTTGAATTGCTTTGCATTGTGTACTGCGGGATAATCTGTATGATATGTTTAAATACAAGGAGTGGCTGAAGAGTTGTAAGCTAGGAAGGATGTATGGTACACCCTTAAAAGTTTCCGTGTATTAAATACAATACGTCCCGTGTTTACAGGCTGCATTTGAACCAAATACACAACCAGGTAGCATAGTTCTGCAGAGATTCAACTTTCAATGTTTTAACTCGTATGTGTCAGTGTCTCGTATTAACATTGTTGAGAACTTGTTGTTATAGTTTAATAGAAATGTCTTAGCTAATTGTAATGACTTTAAATCCACATCATGAAACCGACGTACTTGCTATTTGAGAAAACCAACATGAACGCCTGGTTGTAAGCTTACAATGAATCGGGAGTGCACAGTTCTAGGAATGTGCCACTTTGGTTTTGTTTGACTCTGTATCCTTCCAAATGACGGTTTATGGGTATGGGTACCCCCTGTTGATCATGAGGTCTAACACTGCGCTGACCCGCTGCAAGAAGATGACCACTTTTGTAGAGGTAATCACTGTCACGTCCTTCAAGAATGTTTTCACATTGTTTTCCAGACGTTTCCACTGGTCCTTGATATTGTACAAGATCTTCCGTATCCGACCGGAGGGATCTAGAACACCCTTTATCAATGAAGGCTTCAGTGATGTAAGTATGTTTAGAAGTTTAGCCAAGGTAGCTACATTCCAGCAAGAATTCAGCAGGGACGAAGGCACCAGAATGGGCTTCGAGATTGTCCTCATGTCTGAATTGAACATGTGTTTTCAGTAACGATGAAACACTTTTAACCATTTATAAGAGGGCTATTCATTCGAAACAAAGAGTCAGTAGTAGCTGTTTCGTCACAATTAAAGGTCTGCTTTTCAATTATTTCAATATGTGCCTTATCTGTACCAGGGTTCCCAGGCCACCTGGCCTATAGTAAGTCATAATTGTACAGTCCGTAGTTGCTGCATTATTAGTCAAGCCTGGATAATGTACGAAGGAACCAGTGCATCAAATCAGACCATCGTGTCTGTAGTTGCTGCAGTATTAGTCAAGCCTGGATAATGTACATATAAATATACCCGATGGTCTGATTTGATGCACTGGTTCCTTTGTTCATGACTCGACCGTTATTCAGTCAACTCTATATTTCTGACCAGAAATCAGAAATCAGTCATGAATAACGAAAAAGTATGTATATTTGTTTTTACTCGTACACAGTAAAAAAACAAGTAATTAATTCTTTCAGGACTTGAGTGGAAGCCATAAGGTAAGTGTCAATGCAACCTCGAGGTTAACAACATAAACTTGAACCTTAATTTCAATGGCAAACCCGGGCACATATTAAACTGGAAATTTGGCAATTACAAGGTTAACCATTACGAAATTCTCTAATTGACTTTATGTTCACAACACAGCTCTTCAACAGAAATCATGTTTTATTCATCTTCAAAATAGCTTAAAAAAATGCTAATTTCAGTATTTTAAAATAATCGTTTCTAAAGGTCAACCGCTAAACAGCTTGTATCATATAAAGTAATATCCCCCAATCAGAAAGCCTCAAGAAGTCGCGATTTTGACAGGTAGCGATGAAGGCGTAGGCCTTTCACGTACTTTTAGTATAGGTCGTCATCTAATTATATTAATATTAAACTGTTCACAGTCCCGTGGGTTGTCCGGCGTGTTCATGTCCAGTTGGCGGCCAGATGACCCCACAACTCCGATGAGGTCAGAACGATCTCTGCGACCGGTGCCCCATCTTCACGACCACAATGCCGTGAGTAACTACAGTGTTGTTATTTAAATATACAAACATTGCAGAGTTGAGTTTAACACCGCTTACAAAAGTATGTCCATGATATCAGGGCTTAAAGTGATGCACGAGTTTGGTATAAAACTCCAAGGATCGCAATCAGGACGAATCCGGTTTTGAAACCCAAGACCAGTTTTCTAGATAGGACAGGTGTTTTTTTAACTGTATTGGGTTTTTTCTCCAGACAAAAAGCCTAAACAGTGAGCCACAACTCGGAGAGGCAAACATCCGCTTTGACGGCTCCAGATATCAACCGACTCGTCTTGACTTCACTCGTGGTGCAACAACGGACCGGCCAAGAACACCAGTCGAAGATTACGAAGAAAGACCAAGCAGTTCATCCTCTCTTATCAGGGGCAAGTCTCCGGTCAAAAGAAAGTCACGCCGCGTCGCCCCCGGCCCCGAACCGGAACCGGAACCAGACTATGATCCATAGAACTCCAGAAATCTTTACACTGTAGATAGTTGTCTTTCAGAAAATGCTCAAACGAACTTATTGTTTCCTCAATAACATGTACCATGCAAATGGTTGATTTAAGATAAAATTTAATTAACTCAATGTTGATAGAAAGCAGTTAATTAAAAAATTAAATTCCCAGTCTAATAATCTAATTACAAGGGCTTCCATTGATGGAAACTGCTGACAGGATGTCAACGATAAATGATATATGAATGTTGGCCGTGTGTTTCTATTAATGAAATCTCACAGATTATTCTGCTGTTGTAACAATGTTTAAATTAGCGTCATGACACGCATATAACTCGAGGGGACAGTGGAAATTTGAATATGAACTTTGTTGAAGTTAAAATTTGTAAAAGACATGTATATTTAAATCCGTTTTCAAGATCAACGCTGCACGTGTTACTGGTATTTATCACAACCAAACACGCACTAGACAGGAACGTATAAATATATCGCATAATTGTACTTTTTAATATAGTTATTGACATTTTTCTCCAAAATAAATATTCTTCAGCAAATCAAACGTTGTTTTCGTCAGTATATTCCCTCTCGGTCGTGATGGAGGCCGAGGTCCGGTCAGACCGTCGAAGGGGTCGAGTCCGAGGTCGATTGTTTCGTATATTGACCTCGTCAGGAGTTTGTTTGTTTATTTGTTGTTTAACGCCACACTCTTCAATATTCCAGCTATATGACGGCGGTCTGTAAATAATCGAGTTTGAACCAGACAATCCAGTGATTGTCATCATGAGCATCGATCCAAACATTTGGGATACGATGACATGCATCAACCAAGTCAGCGAGCCTGACCACCCGACCCCGTTAGTCGCCTCTTACAACAAGCATAGTCGCCTTTTACGGCAAGCATGGGTTGCTGAAGACCTATTCTACCCCGGATCTTCATGGGTCTTGTTTGGAGTAATTATTCGTTTTGTTGTACCGAAATTCACGTACAGTTTTTGAACCCTTGAACCGTCCTGTTTCATTCCAGTAACATAGCTGCCAACCGTGCAATGTTCGTACCAGACGCCATCTTGTTTTCTAGGAGACGAGTCAATATTCATCACGTGACAGGCCAATAATGATCATGTGACGAGTCAATATTCGAAAGTCAGTGTCTGTCATGATTTTAGGGTCTACATTGGAATCCATTGTTTCGTCACAATGGTATGGATTAACAGATGGAATCGCAAAATTCTTAACTGAGGTGATATAATATTAATTGAGATCCTACTGAAACAAGTAGTTATGAATCTTCAATCGTTGAGTGAGTGAGTGAGTTGGGTTTAACGCCGTTTTTAACAGTATTCCAGTTATATCACGGCGTGTCAGCTTAATGTGGGAGGAAAGCCCCAAGTTTCAGACATCAGACGAACCCGGGTCTTCGGCGTGTCGAGCGAACGCTTTAACCACTAGGCTACCCGACCGCCCCCATTGTTATTTGATAAAGACAATCCAGATCCTTAAATTCAGCTCAGTTGCGGGTGTAACCACCACGGGGTTAGATGGCCACATCTATCCTGCTTCTCATGGAGGCGTTAGGGTAGGTAGCCCGGTGGTTAAAGCGTTCGCTCGTCACGCCGAAGGCACGGGTTCGATTTCCCACATGGGTACAATGTGTGAAGCCCATTTTTGGTGTCCCCCGCAATGATATTGCTGGAACATTGCTTAAAGCGGCGTGAAACCACACTCGCTTGTTCGTTCTCATTCCAGTGAGTCTTTTGATACGGTGGCGAAGTAACTGCTGCACTCCTGGTGTAGTGCAGCTGCTGAAGCTGTCAGGTCCTGCACTCGTAGATCCACTGCCTGCAGCTGACGTCCAAGAATGTGCCAAACATGTTCCAATGGATTCAAACAGGACTAATGACGGGCCAAAGCAATGTGTATTTGTTTGTTGTTTAAAGCCGAACACAGCAATATTCCAACTATATAACGACAGTCTGTAAATAATCGAGCCTGGACCAGACAATCCAGTTATTGATAAAATGAGCATGATACACGCCACTGGGATACGATGACATGCATCACCTGACCACCCAATCCCGTTAGTCGCCTCTTACGACAAACATAGTCACCTTTTACGGCAAGCATGGGTTGCTGAAGCCCAATTCTACCCCGGTTCTTCACGGGTGCCCAAGGCAAAGTGTCGGAAGCATTTGTGCACAGAAATGCTGTCGTCCGGGGAAGAGGCGGCTACACCTACTCGGAATGTGATCGTCTTTATGAGATTCCAATGAGCGATCTTCGCCTATAATCCAGCCTCAATCCCCTTTATCCCCCAACATTTCAGTTTTGAGCTGGATGAGAACACCGCGCGGAAAATGAGATACCCGAAGAGCCCATACAATCTTCTACAGTCTCCCTCTCTGAGGTTTACGCATTACGGGATCAAACTGTTTTATTCTCAGGAAGCGAACCGTAACATAACAACCGGATGGGTTGCATCATGAACAAGTGATGGCAAATGTGGTTCCACCTCTGAAGTCGTGCTCTTGGGGGTGGGTAGGGCGTCATGTCAACACCCAACAGCTACTTGCTGGTCAGACGTAGGCAGCATGAAATTGTCATTACATACCTCCTGCGCATATCTACACATGTCATATCAATGATAGTCAATGGATAAGGAAACTTTATGAAATGTTATACTTTTTAATAAATATAGACACTAAAAATAATAATATTATTGCGACATATTCAAACACACACACGCACACATTTTCACCTCTTTTTGCGCAAAAAGTACGTACGATATTTCCATCTATCAAGTCTTCTTGTTAATTGTTTGAATGACATTTTTAAAAGTTGACAAGCAACAGTAAAGGCAAGATATTTCAAGGGTGACATGTAGGTGAAACTTCCCGCCCCATAAACGTGAGAAAAAAGGACTAAGAGCATTTACCACCAAACCTGATCGAAAATTAGCTCAGACCATATCATCAACTGCCATAATCACAATATCATGGGGGACAATGTACACATGCTATCAAACAATCTCCAGGACCTCACCAAATGAAAAAGAACAGAAGCATTTCAAATCCGCCGATACAAGCTACCAATCAACTGAGATCAAGGATACCATCCCATCTGCCTACAATGTATTGATAATACAATGGAAGACTCCAGCTGTCATTCTAATTATTCCTGTCGGCACTGTATATTTGTATCTTGTAAACTACAGCTGACTTTTTTCTGTTGTTACTATATCAATCAACCATATGCTTTGTTGTTGTTTATCCCTTTCATGAATATCCTCATGTTATTTTTGTTAATCCTGATCAGATGTACATAGGTCTGTCCTGTGTGTCTTACCTCACACTTGCTTGACATCTGTATAAGAATCGATACGGAAACGTCGCATCATAATGCAATAAAGAGGTGGTCATCCATTAAATACCTTTACTCTTCTTGTTAATGTTACATCATAGCAAAAACAAGTAGCAGAATTTCTTCTTGTTATGCGGAGCACGGATTTCGCTAATCGGAGTTTCGGTTCCTGGTCAAGGATCCGCTGATGTTTGATTGGAACTTCTCCTATTATGATTGGCTTGTTAGCACCTGATTCTGGGTTTCTCACTGAGTGGTATGCATATTTCATTTCCCCCCGTGAAGATCCGGGTTAGAATTGGCCTTGAGCAAACGCATGCTTGTCTACCCCGTGAAGATACGGGTTGGAATTGGCCTTCAGCAAACCATGCTTCTCTAGCCACGTGAAGAATCGGGTGAGGATTGGCCTTAAGCAAGCCATGCTTGTCTACCCCGTGAACATCTGGGTTAGAATTGGCCTTCAGCAACCCATGCTTGTCGTTTCCCCATAAAGACCCGGGTTAGAATTGGCCTTCAGGAACCCATGCTTTTCTACCCCCGTGAAGACCCGGGTAGAAATTGTCCTTCAGCAACCCATGCTTGCCTACCCCCGTGAAGATCTGGGTTAGAATTGGCCTTCAGGAACCCATGCTTGTCTACCCCCGTGAAGACCCGGGTTAGAATTGGCATTCAGCAACCCATGCTTGTCTTCTCCGTGAAGACCCGGGTTAGAATTGGCCTTCAGGAACCAATGCTTGTCGTCCCCCGTGAAGACCCGGGTTAGAATTGGCCTTCAGCAACCCATGCTTGTCGCCCCCCATGAAGATACGGGTTAGAATTGGCCTTCAGCAACCCATACTTATCGTCCCCCGTGAAGACCCGCTTAGGAATTTGACATTCAGCAACCCATGCTTATCTACCCCCGTGAAGAGCTGGGTTAGATTTGGCCTTCAGCAACCCATGCTGGTCCACCCCCGTGAAGACGCGGGTTAGAATTGGCCTTCAGCAACCCATGGTTGTCTACCTCCGTCAAGACCCGGATTAGAATTGGCCTTCAGCAACCCATGCTTGTCGTCTCCCTTGAAGATCTGAGTAGAATTGACCTTCAGCAACCCATGCTTGTCGTCTCCCTTGAAGATCAGGGTTAGAATTGGCCTTCAGCAAACCCATGCATGTCTACCTCCGTCAAGACCCGGGTTAGAATTGGCCTTCAGCAACCCATGCTTGTCGTCTCCCTACGAAGATCCGGGTTAGAATTGGCCTTCATCAACCCATGATTGTCCCCCCGCCTGAAGACCCGCTTAGGAATTTGACATTCAGCAACCCATGCTTATCTACCCCCGTGAAGGGCTGGGTTAGATTTGGCATTCCGAAACCCATGCTTGTCTACCCCCGTGAAGACCCGGGTTAGAATTGACCTTCAGCAATCCATGCTTGTCGTCCCCCATGAAGATCCGGGTTTGAATTGGCCTTCAGCAATTCATGCTTGTCGTCCCCCGTGAAGATCTGGGTTAGAATGGGCCTTCAGGAACCCATGCTTGTCTACCCCCCATGAAGATTCGGGATAGAATTGGCCTTCATAAACCCATGCTTGTCTACCCTTGTGAAGACCCGGGGTAAGAATTGGCCTTCAGCAACCCATGCTTATCTACCCCCGTGAAGATCTGGGTTAGAATGGGCCTTCAGGAACCCATGCTTGTTGTTTCCACATGAAGACCCGGGTTAGAGTTGGCCTTCAGCAATCCATGCTTGTCGCCCCGCATGAAGATTAGGGTTAGAATTGGCCTTCAGCACCCCATGCTTGTCTACCCCCCATGAAGATTCGGGATAGAATTGGCCTTCATAAACCCATGCTTGTCTACCCTTGTGAAGACCCGGGGTAAGAATTGGCCTTCAGCAACCCATGCTTATCTACCCCCGTGAACGTCTGGGTTAGAATTGGCCTTCAGCAACCGATGCTTGTCGCCTCCCGTGAAGATCCGGGTAGAATTGGCCTTCAGTAATCCATGCTTGTCGTTTTTCCATGAAGACCCGGGTTAGAATTGGCCTTCAGCAACCTATGCTTGTCGTCTCCCGTGAAGATCCGGGCTAGAAGTGGCCTTCAGCAACCCATGCGTGTCTACACCTGTGAGGATCAGGGTTAGAATTGGCCTTCAGCAACCCATGCTCGTCGTCTTCCCATGACGACCCGTGTTAGAATTGGCCTTCAACAACCCATGCTTG